ACGCCGCGACAACTAGAACAGCTCCTAGAAACAGTCGTTTGTTTTACGTTCAGGACAGAGTAACAGGTGCTCAGTTCTTAGTGGACACTGGAGCAGAGGTAAGCGTTGTGCCTCCAGTGAGTAACGAAACGCGAAATATTAATACAGCGCTAACGCTTAAGGCAGCAAATAAATCCGATATAAAAACATATGGCAAGCGTAAAGTAACCTTGAATTTTGGTCGTAGCACTTCATTCCGCTGGGAATTCGTCATCGCAGATGTATCTGTACCTATAATTGGTATTGATTTCTTAAAGAATTTCGACTTACTAGTGGATACCCGACGAAACCGGCTCGTGAACGGAGACCATTCAGTAGTGATAAAAGGAGTGACAACCGATTACGTATCCATGAATTTAGTAGTGTCAAAAGACAAAAGCGAGCCATATAGAGCGCTTCTAAATGAGTTCACTGATTTGACGAGAGCATCATACGATAACAGAGATCTTAAACACACTGTACAGCACCATATTATAACGAAAGGTCCATCGACCAACGCAAGACCACGGAGGCTAGACCCAAATAGGTTGAAGATTGCGAAACGAGAGTTCGAAAAATTGATGAAGCTTGGTATCGTAAGACCGTCTAATAGTCCCTGGGCATCCCCGTTGCATATAGCCAACTATGTACAACGTCTAAAGCAATATATGGGTGATCTGAGGATAACGCTTCCGAGGCAACAGCAACATCGTGTCTACATGCCAAAACGACTGACCGATAGTACCCATGTGTTTATCAGAAGGGATAATGTGCAGCGTCCCTTACAACCGGCCTACGATGGTCCATTCAAGATGATTAAAAGAAATGATAAAACTATTACGATAGAAAAAGCTGGAAAAACGGATGTAGTTAGCATCGACAGAGTCAAACCAGCTTTCATCGAAACCGACGATCAGACAGTATATACAGATATTTCGAAAACCGGTGAACCACCGAAACGCGAGTCCCAATCATCAACGACATCGACCAACACAAACGAAGAAAATCCAGTAACAACGAGATATGGCCGAAGAGTGAGATGGCCGCAAAGATACATAGCTACGATTCTGAATTAATAATTTCTTTCACCTCTTCTAATGTAAATTTCATCTTCATTTTCTATGTACAAATCGAAAATTTTAGCTTATCTATTATTATATTCAACATATTTTATGTATTCTTCCGATCTTCCGTTATGATCTTATTTGGCCTCACGGACATATACCAACTCAAACTTACACATATTTTTAATAACTTATACGATAGTTCTATCATATATCTTAATTTAGTAAATTTCGATATTTCCCATATTGTTAAATTTGACATTTTTTTCGCAAACACAGACACTTTTGTATCTTTGTTTGCTGGGAGGAGCTATTATAGCAACTCACGTTCAATTGAGTTTGCTCTCACCTAATTCGGTTAAGCCCTTTTATTAACTTTATTAAACGGACAAAGTCACCTGCACTATAATAACTTATTGTATCCTTATTACTGTTGCGAATGTATGTACCTTTATTATTGTTATCCTTGTATGAATATGTATGCTCGGCAAGCCTTACTGCCTACGCATTTGTTCACGCTACAAGCTTTACTATTAACCGCTTAATTGACTCGATGATTCATTAATTTCACCATGTATATATATGTCCATGTTATTCATATTCATGACTCGCTCGCTCGATCGCTCGCTCTTGCCCTTGCTCTCTCTCGCTCGCTCGCTCGCTTGCCTGTTTGCCTTTCGGCACAACTATTTCATGCTTGCTTAACGCATCTGTAATATTGGATATCTGTGTGTGGTCCCTTAATAAACGTAATTAACGCTTCGTATTCGCCTTCTGATTAATATACCGTTGGAGTATTATTTGGTGACGGTTACCGAGACGAACTGTATACGGAGTTTAAGGAATATATCGAACACCGACCACCACACCTTTCGTTATAATATGGTGCTGTACAGTGTGTTTAAGATCTCTGTTATCGTATGATGCTCTCGTCAAATCAGTGAACTCATTTAGAAGCGCTCTATATGGCTCGCTTTTGTCTTTTGACACTACTAAATTCATGGATACGTAATCGGTTGTCACTCCTTTTATCACTACTGAATGGTCTCCGTTCACGAGCCGGTTTCGTCGGGTATCCACTAGTAAGTCGAAATTCTTTAAGAAATCAATACCAATTATAGGTACGGATACATCTGCGATGACGAATTCCCAGCGGAATGAAGTGCTACGACCAAAATTCAAGGTTACTTTACGCTTGCCATATGTTTTTATATCGGATTTATTTGCTGCCTTAAGCGTTAGCGCTGTATTAATATTTCGCGTTTCGTTACTCACTGGAGGCACAACGCTTACCTCTGCTCCAGTGTCCACTAAGAACTGAGCACCTGTTACTCTGTCCTGAACGTAAAACAAACGACTGTTTCTAGGAGCTGTTCTAGTTGTCGCGGCGTTTACCGACAATCGGTGTGATCGTTTGAATTTACACGGTGGTCGGCAGTTTCGAGCTTTGTCGCCAAAAGTTTGATGGTACCAACATATTGTAGGAGCTGAGCGTCTCCTAGAACATGATCGACTTCTATCTCTTGACCTACTTCGTGACCATTTTCTTTGTGTATCGCTCTGATTTAGTTTTGTCAGCTTGTGGCATAAGACTTCTAGCTCTTTCTGTAGAGTACTAAGTCTATCATCTACCGTCACGTTGTGTAATGGAGGGGTTGTTTGTTTGGTTCTTTCGTATATTCTATCGGCTATTTTTGCTATGTTGTCTATATCGGCGTCCGTATCTCCGACGGCTAGGATCTGCTGTACACTTGACGGAAGTCGCCTAAGCCACAGTTGATAAAACAGTTTATTGTCCATTTGCCTATCGCCCAACAGGCTTTTCATATACGTTTTTAGCTGTGATGGGGTTCTATCTCCCATTTGTACTTGGTTAAGAAGTTGTTCGACAGCTTGTTGATCACTTAGAGAGAGAGTTTTAATTATTACTTGCTTTAGTACATCGTACGGCTTCTCGATGTCTGGTTTCGCTAACGCCTCTCGTACGCTATCTGCAACTTCGTCTGGAAGGAGTGTGCTTGTGAGACCGAATTTATCTCTTTGTAAGTGAATGCGGTTAGCCAAAAAATAATTTTCAAGTCTAATGAACCAAAGTTCAGGATCTGTGATCTTAAAAGGAGGAATAGTTACATTCATGGACCTCACGGACGAAATTTGTGGAAGGTCTATTGTGTCGTTATTTAAAGACATGATTATAAAGATAAAAAAATTATACGTATATACTGTAAATGTCACGGAGAGAAATAAATCGATAAAAACAATGATAATACAAAATGGTACAATTAATTACAAGGAACGGACTTACTAAATTGCACCAAAATATCAATTGTTTGGAAAATATCGTTGTTTATTATGAATATTATCGATATGTTCAATAATGTTTGTGTGATAATGTACGTATAATCAAAATGGTGACATAATAAATCCACAGTAATGATTATAATCCAAATGCTAGCTCGAATTGAAATAAAGTGCGTTGGATTCTCGGAGTTGGATTACGTCGTCGAAGATTGATTCTTGCTCGCACGTTGGGATCACCAATTCTGTGGTGGTCGGTGTTCGATATATTCCTTAAACTCCGTATACAGTTCGTCTCGGTAACCGTCACCAAATAATGCTCCAACGGTATATTAATCAGAAGGCGAATACGAAGCGTTAATTACGTTTATTAAGGGACCACACACAGATATCCAATATTACAGATGCGTTAAGCAAGCATGAAATAGTTGTGCCGAAAGGCAAACAGGCAAGCGAGCGAGCGAGCGAGAGAGAGCAAGGGCAAGAGCGAGCGAGCGAGAGAGAGCAAGGGCAAGAGCGAGCGAGTGAATGAACGAGCGAGCGAGTAATGAATATGAATAACATGGACATATATATACATAGTGAAATGAATGAATCATCGAGTCAATTAAGCGGTTAATAGTAAAGCTAGTAGCGTGAATAAATGCGTAGGCAGTAAGGCTTGCCGAGCATACGTATTCATACAAGGATAACAATAATAAAGGTACATACATTCGCAACAGTAATAAGGATACAATAAGTTATTATAGTGCAGGTGACTTTGTCCGTTTAATAAAGTTAATAAAAGGGCTTAACCGAATTAGGTGAGAGCAAACTCAATTGAACGTGAGTTGCTATACAACCATGGAAAACCTGGGAGAACTGGACGGCCGTTTCGTCCTCGTATGGGACTCCTCAGCAGTGCGCATACACGATCCCGCCCACACGCGAGATTCGAACCCAGGACCAATCGGTCTCTCGCGCGAGTGCTTGACCATTAGACCATTGAGTTGACCGGCATCCAACGGTGTTAATGTTTAAGTTCAACCAATTCATGAAATTGCGCCAACATCCACCATGGTCTTTAGTGAGCTAATATCTCAAAACTGACCTGATTGAACTCCACTGGTACAGTGCTTCCAGGTTTTCCATAGTGCTCTAGCTTCAATTGACTCATGATTTCAACTATTGAAATTACTAAATTCTCCACAATACCCATTCTGGTAATAAATTCATTTTATAGAGATCCCTTCGCTGAATTTCATGTTTTTAATGTTTAAATGGGAATTATCGGTCAACAGTTATACACTTGGTATATGTAGATTCAATAATAGAATAAGTAAATAACAATTACCATTCAACTCAAATGTAAATTAACAATCAGAATTACATTTTATTGATTAAATTAAAAGAAATCCTTCATTGTAAAATAATAACATTAAGCGAACAAATCGAAATGAAGTAATAATGAATGGATGTTTATTTCCACTGTGTTAGTCCTCAGTAACTTTCGCTTCCAGTATATATATATATATATATATATATATATATATATATATATATATATATATATATATATATATATATATGAACGTCATTCTACTATGATATATATATGTATATAATAATATTGAAACTTACAATACAGTGATTTGTTGGCACATCCTTCTTAGGTTGTGTTTCCTGAAATAAAAGTACATTCATCATTAATAATAACATAAATATGATGATCATGGATCAGTTGCTTAGCATTTTATTAAAAATCAAGTATTTTTGATGAATTCATTTAGCAACAGTGGAACATAGGGACAAATTAAAAAATCAGAAGCCAAATTTTACATAATTATTGAATCTATTAACTTCTTTTGTAGGTTATTCAGCGTGTAAATTAAAATGACAACATATAAATGCAGTCTATCTGTCTTCTGTAACACTTATGATGATCCAAATAGATTTTCAAAGATCTCCATAATTTTCTTCATTATAGTTGGGTATTTTGATATAGGCATAGGATTCAGCTACAACACAGCATGCAACAATCCAATCACACTTGACGGAGAAGATTTGGGAGGTGTAAAAACCTTTACATATCTGGGCAGAATCATTGATGAACACAATGGATATGATGCAGATATGAAGGCGCTGATCGGTAAAGTAAGAGCAGAATATCTACAATTGAAAAACATCTGGAACTCAAAACAACTATCAACCAACACCAAAGTCACAATTTTCAATACAAGTGTCAACTACGAAATCTATCGTTCAGAAGATACAGGTGTTTATTAACGGTTGTCTACGTAAAATACTTCGGATCCGTTGGTCGGACACTATCAGACAGTGACAACTTACTATGGGAGAGAATAAATCAGATTCCAGTAGAGGAAGAAATGAGAAAATGGATAGGACACACATTGAATAAAACACCGAACTGCGTCACAAGACAAGCCCTCACATGGAAATCTCGATGCCAAAGGAAAAGAGGAGGATCAAAGAACACATTACGATGATAAATGGACAGACATGAGAGGAATAAACAACAATTGGATAGTACTGGGAAGGAAGGCCCAGGACAGTATGGGTTGTAGAACGCTGGTCATTGGCCTATGCTTCATCGGGATAACAGCCGTAAGTAAGTTATGGGGTTCAGCGTTGCGGTATTGATCAAGAGCGTACATCAGTTATAATGCGAAGTGTTCTGTAGTCATAGGAATGAATAAATTTCATAAATTAATGCAATAACTATTGTGTGATTAATCTTTCCATAAAATCTAATGCTAGTAAGTTGAGGTTCATTTCATGTTTATGTTATAACCTAAAACCTTTAAAGGAAAGTTTTGGGTCGTCTTTTATATACAATCTACAGAAAGCGAATTGAACATTTTACTCGATGGTACTAAAAATGAATTTTTCGATTTCATTTTATAAACATCTTGAGTACTATACACAGATATTTCTAATGATCATTATACGTAGTACTTGAATTTCAATCAAAATCTGAAAGTCGTGTCCTCAATCTTTATTGGCTCATTCCTACACTATTCTGTTACCGTAGCCTTCAAAGAATTTTGATCATCTCTTTAATTTAAGCAGACTATTAAACAGCTGACTAAATGAGGAACAAGTTTACTTAATCTAGGACTTTATTTAATATGATATATAAAAATTGGTGGCCGTTTATCGCTGTTTGGTTTTAAATCAAATATATTCAGTATTGTGAAAATAAGACCAACACAAATGGTTCATCTTTAACATATAAGTTGTAACTGCAAGTTCGAGGTGTAATGAGCCACGTCAACAGGAAATAAGTGGATAAAGTTCAGAAATATAATGTTAGCTTCCCTGAAAATGTAAATGAAAATAAGGAAAAAACGTTGGAAATGGATAGGTCACATTTTGAGAAAATCATCAAACTGCATCCAGAAGCAAGCGCTAATTTGGAATCTTGAAGGGAAATGAAATAATGGAAGGCTAAAGAACACACTGCACCGAGAATTGGAAGTAGACATGAATAGGATAAATAGCAATTGAAAACATCTAGAAAGGATTGTCCCGGACAGAGTTGGATGGAGAATGCTAGTGAGCGGTCTGTACTTCTCCATGAGAGATAACAGAAGTAAGCAAGTAAGTAAGTAAGTAAGTAAGAAAATGTAAATGAACATAAAGACATTCAGTATAATGAAATGATGTATTTTATTCTGCTATCGGATAATTGAATAATTGTAATAGCTTTACAACAACTCAAAAATGCATTTGCTTTTTATAAATTTAGAAAATTTTCACAAATTGCATCACGGACTGGTCTTAGTCATACAACGACTGAACATCAAGAAGGAATAGATAGCTATTTACCTCAGTATAATAAAAAACATACACACTATCAAATACTGAGGTAAGCAACTTAAGTTTAAAAAAATATGGAAGTATTTGATCTGGTTACTTTTTTATTGAACGATTTTATTTCACGCTTCTGTGTCATCCTTCGTTTACGTTTACCTTTTTTCTTTGACTGTAAAGAAAGAAATGAGTTGAAGAATAAATATATAAATAGTGTACTGTTCACAGTATTTTCAAAATACTGTCTTAGTATATACTAGCCATTTGAATCTGTATAAAAATGATACAATTGAAGCGTACTATCAGTATACTAATTCTTAGTTAATGGGAAATAGAAAGAAATAGCCCCTTCCAGTGCTTCCACGTTATCCATGGTGATCTAGCTTTAATAGATTCATGATCTCAACTATTGAAATTACTACAATCTTGACAAAACTCCTTCTGAAAATGATTTGGAATTTAATCAAGCCAGAATCAGACTAAATTGAAAACAACATTCTATGTAATGAAATTTATAATTATCTTTCTGTAAGTGAACAGTTTTGTATTTCTATAATTAGTAATGTTTTACAATTATATTCTAGACTTCATATTTACTGATTCGTATTGTATTGAACGAGAACACAAGTGGGGACAATCGATGATACATACTACTTATGTCTGTCAATATCAGTAGCACATACCACAACATGATTGAGTTTTCTCTATCATTCTGAACAAGAATCAGGTATTCAGCTAAAGAATACAATACTATCGTGATCAATTCACTTGAGCTGTAAAGAGTCTCCAACATTTAGAACATACATGTTAATTGTAGTGAACGAGAACACAATTAGGGACAATCGAATATATTTGAACACAAAACTAAAGAATCTCTTAATAAAATCTGAGAACCATACAGTGAATACTTTATTTGCAAGATGTCAATCAATCGTCTCAAACTTCATTGTTCTTCCATTTCCATGACAATCATTCTCTATTCTCGTTCTCTTTCCTCCAATCTTCTTACCCTTCTACCTCCAAGCATTTCACTTTCGATTGATGATACATACTACTTATATCTGTCGACACTAGTAGCACACACTACCGTATCATAGAATTGTTTCTCCTAGATTCCATATAACATAATTTGACAAAATCTAAAAAAAACATAACAGCCAAGAATTTAGTATTCTGATCTGAGAGTTGAACTGTGTAAACAAATACCCTTCAGTATAAGTATTAATTAAGTAATAATTATGTTAGCCATGATTTCAGTTAAATTTAACTATATTAATACAATAATTTCATTTTCGGAAACTCTATCTAATGACTATTGGTGATTTGAAGAAGTTCCAAGCTTAGATCCTCAAGCAGAATATCTGATTCAATTATCATAGAGTAATATACACTTCTTAAACAATTCAAACTATATTATTTATGATAATGACAGGTTGATATAAATATCAATAATGCAAAATCTAGTACATAATTAAACATAATAAATCATATACTACTGTACTTACTTTTTGTAAAACATATGCATAATATGCAGGTAACTCATCACAATTAGAACTATCTGATCCAACATCACTACATAAATATGAAGTATAAAAATTAATGAATAGAACTGAAGTAGATTGAACATTCAATTAGTATGGAAAAAAAAGGGCTTGTCATACAAACAGTAGATATCAGTCACTTTCCGCGGTGATGGATGTAACGATTAAATGTACTGTTTATCACAAACGATTCCTTATAAATCAATCTTTCCAAACATTTTGTCAATGGAATCAACGGAGACGAACACTCTGCAAATGGTGTATATTGGTAAATTAGTCAGTCATATAAGTTTATTGTATTATTTTTTGGTAATATGGATCACAGATTCCATTTAAGAAACTACAATTAGGTACAACTCTTACTTGCTTACTTGGATCTATATTTGATAGAAATGTATTAACGGAAATATTCTACGTTTACTTAACGTTATTTTAGGTAAGATGAACTAATTATTTTAGATCACTATTCTAGTTTTTGGTGCATAATAGAATAAAAATTCTGATTGTGAATAACAAGAAATTATATTAATTTGATAGTTGAATTCATGAGTCAATTGAAGCTAGACCACTATCATGGAAAATTTGGAAGCACTGGACGGCCGTTTCGTCCTAGTATTGAACTCCTAGGCAGTGCTTACCCACGATTCAGACACGTGAGATTCGAACTCAGGACCTAGCAGTTAGATGCCGGCTCAGTGGTTTGGAGGTTGAGCGCCCGCGCACGAGACTGATAGGTCCTGAGTTCGAATGTCATGAGGAGGGATCGTGGATGAGCACTGTTGAGGAGTCCAAAACTAGGACGAAAAAGCCATCCAGTGCTTCTAGGTTTTCCGTGGTAGTCTAGCTTCAATTAACTCATGAATTTAACTATTAAAAAGAAATTATATGTAATAAAATAGAATTTGTTCACTTCGTTGAGTTTTCTTTAAGGAATATGACTGTTGCATTTGAAATGATTAATCTTCATTTTGATAGTTCGTGTCTTGGTAGTTGGATTTGAGTAACAAAAAATGTTAAGTTAATTAGTCATTAAGAAATCAAATTATTTGAGCAGAGAAATTAAACGTTGTAAGGTTGATGAACAGTGGTCACCATCAAGTGGATACTTTAAAATAAATATGCAATCCACCTACACTTCATTTTGTTTTAAGTTACCGAGTGCAATATTTCATACTTTAGGAGATGACTAATCAGTTTCTTGGATTATATAACTTAATAGGAATATACATCATGAGTTTAGAAAAGTATTTATAAAAAGTATACTGACTAGCTAACTGACTATTTAACTAACCTACTGTCACTCATTGAATCATCAGACGAAAGTTTATCATCTTCAAATTCATTTGTTTTAGACACTTTCATAGAAACCAAACGATTTTTCAAATATTGCATAATATGTTCCATCTGAAATGAATTTCCAAATGTTTTTTCACAGGTAAATTCTCCCCAAAAAATAATAATAATAATCTCCTTTGTCAAATAATACACTGTTACAATGCATATGTTAAAGTAATTCAAACAATTAACCGAATTCTATTTTCATGTTGAAGAAGAACTCTTATACATTTGATAAGTAAAACAAGTCTCAGTGATAATGATAGAGTTAATTTGATTATCAGTATAGGGTTGTGGAGATTATCAAGTTTTTGATTGAGATGTCACACCATCATTGAAAACCTAGAAGCATTGGACGATGCGCGAGACTAAAGGCTCTGAGTTCGAATCTCACGAGTGGGATTGTGGATGCGCATTGATGAGGAGTCCCACAACAGGATGAAACGATTTCAATAAAAAAGAATTAATTTGAATCGATCAGATTTTTGTTACCACATGTCAACAAAACTTTATTTAATAAAAAATTTAAACCACCACATGGTGATAATATAATAAACTTCATTTTTAAATGATTACCACTTCTAGAAAATAACAATAAGAGACTGCAATTGATCAGTCTTTTGTTAGCATATATGCATACAGTGCGTATTGTATCGATATTTCCTTAATTCACATGCATCATAAAAAATGTTGAATAGTGGCTAGCAATGGAATCCAGGATGCGCGTTTCATCCTCTTCGAAACTCGTCAGCTGCATGTATCTGCAACTCAAAGTTGAAATTTACTCAGGACTCAGTAGCTAAGTGGATAACTCGATGGATTTAGGAGCGAGAGGTATTGGGTTGAAGCCCCAGAGTGAACATCAACTTATTATTAAGTACAGTTAACGTAATGGTTTGAAGCCGTTTTTTAAGAAAAAACAAGTTATCATTTAGATACAAAAAAAAACTAAAATGATCATCTTTCTGAATTTCATAATTGTCTTTGTTTAATTGTGTTTAGTATTCGTATCACATTCAATCTATTTTATGTATCAGATAGCCTTATCTACATTGAATCTATCTTTTTTATAATCACATTCTTCAGTTATAATATAAATGTATCATCTAAATTTAAATGAAATACAAGATTTCTAGCTAGTCAGTATATTTAACAAATAAACTGATTTAAAATTATTATTTACTTGTTTGATTACGTATAAAATGTTGTCTGTTGTCATGGTGACGCCGAACGTTAATGTTTATATGATAGTGAAACTATAACAAACCATATATACATTGAGTAAACAAGTAGAATAGATTTAAATATGTTAACTCTTATTTAGTTAAAAAGGGAAATTTAGTTTTATTTAATTATTCTTCTTTGATTCAGTTAATACAAACAGGATTAATACAATTAAATTTGACTCAGTAACATATCTACTAAAGATTAACTACACTATTATATCAAATCTAACGTTCGTAATGCATGAAGATAGTAGTTATTGGTAATAAGTACAATTAGCAAACGTTTAGGATATAAATGGAATATTATTCAAAAGTACATGTCGCTAAGGGAGAAGGGAATAATTCTTTTGATTGTATGTATTATAAGTTGAATTGATCAGTTATAAGGAATACAATTTTTCTGTTGTAATTTTAGAAATCGGTAAAATTCAGCAATTAGAGATGTATTCATAACACCATTACCGTCTACTTCATGTGGAAATAGAGGCATCTAATTAAAGTTCAGATTTTCTTCATTATTGTAGCACAAAATTTACTTACATTTTGTTTCATCTACATACTTCACACATGCTTTAGTTTCAATAACTATGTTTTATGTTAATTATTCAGTTTTATAGTTGTTGTTCTCCACAAATCAACTGTATTCGAGGTATGATTGAAGTGGAATGCACTAAATGGTTGATTTGTTCTGAAGCAAGACCTCTCAGTAGTGCGTATCGGAGACCCAATTATGGATTAAATTTTAAACATTTAGGTAGATGGCAAAATGCATAGTATCTTCAACTTCATTAGAAAACCGATACGTTTTTAATGGGATATTGATTTTCAAATTTCAATGAATCTTCGATCCTAGTAATTCAAATTATGTGAAGTCGGAGACGGAAATTCATGAGGTAAGGTGAGGTGTGACATTTTGGGGTTCGACATTTTCTGACCCTTTCCTTCCTTGTGAGAAGGCAACATCGCTGCAGATGCTGGTTGTTCGAGGGAAGCACCTTCCTGATGTCATACCCCTCTACAGTCAGCAGTACGACTTCACCCTCAGACCTTGAGTTGCTGCCTTTAGTGTCACCGTTCTCCAATAACCTTCCTGGCATGGTAGAACATACAGGAACATATGTTCCAGCCAGTACAGCTCGGTTGAGTCATCATGATAGGCAAACTCGACCACCACGTCAAGGTAACAGCTACAGTCGGGCAGACAAATGATAAAGCAAATTATTTATCACAATGTTTCGAGATCGGTATATCTTGTTGAAAGTGGACTAGGGAAAAATTTACAGTACTTCCAATAAATCGATTAATCTTTCATTTTTAAATCTCAAGAGAGTGATATATTTGAACGAGCCAGTGGATAAAGTGTCGAATGCTGTTTGCAAGGTTTAAACTTCAAAGAAATTGACAGTGAAGTTTATTGTGAAGTTAACTGGAATTTATTTGAAAATAGAACTTGGAGAAGATTTAATCTTGAAAGAATTAAATCTGTCATGTTATGATCAATAAATGACAAGTACAAACCTAATAACATTACCCAAAGAGCACCTGCATATTCATCTGTAGATAAAAGCTATATAATGAGGGGCGGGGGTCTTATACTCGATGACTCTGCTTTGGATTACCCTATTTGGTTTTATACTTATTGGGGATGCGATTAACAACATGCTTAATTATTTACACATTTAAAAACCATTTCAACTGAACTGCAATTCTATTAATGAAATAAAAAATCAGTTAACATGACAGAATATAACAAACGTTATAACATTTTACATTATGGTTCTAATTGCAATAATAGACTAAACGGCTCTTAAACCACAAAAGGGGTTAATCTTCTTGACATTACAAGTTCACAGTGAACACTGTGATAGTAACTTCTGGGGGAATAGTCAGTCAGTCAGCTACAATGTAAGACCAGGCACATATATGCATCGGTCCAAATTGCCACACCTCATTAGCACAACAAGATCAACACCAAATTCATAGAAGTAGTTAATTCAATGGTGGTAATATATAAAAGAAGGATTGCATATAAGGATATAGTACAGGAAGAAAGAATCAGTTGGTAGAAAGAAAGACATGAAGCGATTTTAATCTCATAGTTTAAAGGAACACAGAGAGTGTATACACCTACGCCATTGTGATCGATTCTTAACCATGTCGCCTAGAGTCTCCAACCATTGGTTACGATAGCGGACCCTAATCAAGTAGTCTGCATTTACCAACGTGGCTCAGACCAGAAGTTAGTGACTTTAAGGACTTATGTCACGTTTTGGTTTGAATGCCTCTAACTTCCTTCCAACCATTCCCAACACTGGTTTGCATACTAGGTGATAACCTAATCTGTTGTTTTACAATACATGAACACAATAAAGAAATTATCAGAGAAACGCTAATAACATGCTTTCGATTGAAGACATCATAGGAAATGTTTGTTTATGAAAAAAACGAAATGTTATACATGTTTTAAGATTAAGATTTATTTGTATTAGTAAATAATTCTGAAGAAATAGGAATACAGACAAATAACCATTTGATTGTTGATACCATTCAGGAAGAAGCGCTGAAAACGGATAGGATACACATTAAGTAATGCATTTAAATGCGTCACAAAGCAAGTCCTTACATGGAATCCTCAAGACCAAAGGAGAAGAGGAAGACCAAAGAACATATTACACCGAGAAATAGAGACAGACATGAGAAAAATTGACGAAAATTAGATAGAACTGGAAAGGAAAGCCGATAACAGATTGATTTGGAGAATGCTGGACGGTGGCCTATGCTTAACAGGAATAAGTAAAAGTAAGTAAGTAAAACCATTCATTATTCACCTTTGAAGTATATATAAAAAAATACTATCACAGCATTACAATTAATATTATATAATTTACAAATTACCTTTTTATGATCTGGATCAATATAATCTAGCAATGTATCACAAAAATGTGAACCCATTTTCTCAAAATCCAAAGAATTAAAATGATAACCTTCTTCTAAATCATTACCAGCTGTACCACAAAATGTTGCCTAAAATAGTTTGCATAGAAAATAAGATGAAATATTGCATAGAACTAATAGAATATGAGGTAGTTTAGGAGATTATTAGTTAAGAAGATTTTTGATAATGTTTTTTAACTATATTTCTTAAGCATTCGCGTGCAAGACCGTAGGTCCTGGGTTAGAATCTTGCGGTGTCATCGTGGATGTGCACTGCTGAGGAGTCGCACAATTAGACGGAACGGCCATCCAGTTCTCCCAGATTTTCAATGTTAGTCTAAGATCAATCGGTTCATAATCTCAATCAATAACCTAATAATCTTCACAACCGCATACTGATATTTCTCATTGAAACATTTTATGCATCATCATTGTTTGGATAATGAATAATGATTTAAGTAAAACTTGACCATTACAAAACAAATAAGAATGAAGAAAATAAATATCTTACTTCCTCAGTCTATTCAGGTCATGTAATTTATTTATTCGCTTTTTGTCCTCTTAATTTTGTAAACAGCACTCTTGGTGAGAGAAGGAAGTGAGTAGGACTTCCCTGATAATGACTGTATTGGTGTGGCCATGTGAGAGCATTTAGAGAGGGAGAGAGAACTTCCCCTACCCTCTGTCGTATCAGGGCGTTTTAGGGCCTTGTAATAATGTTCTTTGAGAAATTATCTCCTTAAAATCTCTTATGGAATCTCAGCTACTCATACAATTTATAAAGTAGTGTATAACAATAATAAGTTGATAAAAGAATATAAATTCATATTGTATTATTTTTAATCTGATCAATTATTTCGGTAAATAAAATATCATTGGAAGTAGATAAACATCTTTAGTTTTTTGTTAGAACATTGTGATTGATTTTTGTTAAAACCTACATATCTCAGTAAGTACTCGTTTAAAGAAATACGAAGGATACAAGATAAGCATACAATTTCTTTTTAAAAAAAATCGAATTAATCTCGGTAACCAAAGTACGTCAACTTGCATCATGTTCTTAAGGGAATAGTGAAGAAGGAATTGTAAACAACCAAAAAGATTCATTTTGTATTGTTTTACTTGAATGTTTCAATTGATGCTTGGGACTGAAATTGATCAGTCTCTTATTGGCATATGTGCATACTGTGCGTATTGCTACTGGGTTCGAGTCCCAGAGTGAACATCAACTCTGAGATGCAGGTACATCCAGCTGACGAGTCCCAAATAGGACGAAACGCGCGTCCTGGATTCCACTGCTAGTCACTATCCATCTTCGCTTATAATGCTTGTAAAAATCTTTGGAATTATCCATCTCTTCATTTCATGAATCATAAGCTTTCAATTAATCAACAAATTACTGTCATATTCCCTTCTGGTTCTCAATTATTGTAGTTTAAACATGAATATTGTATTCCATTTCCTTTAACTTTAATTCCCTAGTTTGGTATAATTGTATTTTTTTTCATTCCTTATATGTTATTGTCCCGTTATTCATACATTTATCCGTGTACCTTTTCGAGTTAGTTGAATCAGATAAAAATCGGATACCATTTCCTGATACAATAATCTTCAGTTTTTTTTACTTGTCAACCAGTTAAGTTATTATTCAGCTATTGGACGGTTCTTTTCACCATGCCATCAATGTTGTTTAGTCTTAAAGTTGAATTAACACATTGGAGTCATAAAGTTTATCTCAATAACTCAGCGAGTGAAGGCTATAAACTAGTTTCTGGAAAGTTCTATCTGGAATTGACTACGTACAGACTAGTCAGTAGATAACTTGGTTAAAATAGGTTTATATTTTACAAAGATATGATCAGGAAGAAGTATCCACAAGCAAGGGATGTTGAATAACACAACAAAAGTACTATGTTTTGTGATATTTTAAAAATCAACAGAACAAAATGTGTCTGATGAAAACGGCAATGTACTTTATTATTTACCAAACAAATATGTAGTCAGTAAAGATTACTTCTTTATATTATTTTAGGTGAATGAATGAACAAGGCAGAGATTTGAGCACTACTATTTAGCTATGGTAAAATCAAAAATAAGTATCTGTGTATAACAGACTACTAGTTTGTATGATCTAAATATATCAGAGTTACATTAAACATAACTACTAACACGCTAGTATAATCCTATATGGATGTCAAAGATAAACAGTTATGTTGCGTTTCTTTACAATAGCTAACTCTGTAATTAGTATTTTTCAGAATGGAAATAATTAATTTCCGTTTTATTATCCGTAGTTAACCAGTTAAGATCAGGATGAATTAGAACTTCCCGTAATAAAAGCAGGTATGAATACTAGCATTGAAAACAAACCATTTATAGCTCTCTGTTACTGGCAACTGAAAGTATGATATTGTTGAGCAAATCAGTGAAATAATTACATAGGCATTTCCTTGCTTCCTCTGATTATGTCAATATTTTTGAAGAAATGAAAACTAGTTGCTTAGGTGTCTCTGATGACGTAATTAGTTCCTGAATATGATTCTAACTGTAGCTAGCAAACTGATTTTAGAAATAAATTTATGTAGGCTAATTGTGGATGGATTAAAACTGAACAGTTAGACAATAAAAATGTATAATAATTAATAGATAGGCTGACTTTTCTTTTATTTGGTTGTAATATCTATGTGTTTCATCGGCTTTCATAGCTAAATTAATGACAATTTCTTTTTTACATTTCAAGGATTATGAGTACGGATTATTAAGTGTACCAATGTTTTACCATTGTAAATAATGATGAACATTTAAGAAGCTTGTTCATGAACGTAGGTACTGAAAAAGGGTACTAAAAAAATTTACAGACAGCAGCACTTCAGATTATATATATATATATATATATATATATATATATATATATATATATATATATATATATATATATTATATATGGGAAGTAATACAAGGTGATGATGATTTACACAATGTGTAGTAGTTCTTAATCAATTGATTTTATTAACTTATATGCTTATATATGTTATTTAGCATAACACTTACTTCTAAAGTATAGCTATTTATAATTCCTTCTCTCCACATTACAATACGTCCAGTTCCTTCTTTTTCTTTTTGTACAGCAAATTTACATTTGTCGTAATTAAACTATAATTTATTAGAAAAACATGAATAATTTTTAATGGAATATTAAAAAGCTATGACTTTAAATGATATGGAAAGTTGAATTAGGGTCTGATTTTTTCGGGGGGGGGGAACATAATTGTAAATACCATTTGGTAAGATAAGATTATTATTATTGGCTTTATTTAATATTATATTTTTGGTACAATATAGAATTCTCAGCACAAAGTATTTCAACGACTTTCCCTTTCTTATTTCTTGATCAGTTCCTTGCGATAAATATTGAGTAGTCGCCAGTTAGATGTTAGCGGTTCAAGAATCGACATCTGATAAATGTGTATCCTTTTCGATGCATATTGCCAGTAACTATGATGACTGATTGAGCTCTTTTGTAACATGTACAGTGAAATGTTGTAAACTTTTCACAGACGCACCTGAATAGATTATGAGACTAATAGGCATAATGATGTGTTAAAACAAACAAGAAAACATATAACTTGTTGAAATATCCAGATGGCCGGAACAGGTAGCCCAGATATTCAATATTTACCTTACCAGATTATGGAAGGTCTTTATTGATCATGTTTGTGTAAGACAAGTGTTTTATTAATTTTCTTCAAACATTTGGCAAACCTGAGAATCATCATTCTATTTCAATCGGTGCCAAATAGCAAATTCTAGTCCATTAAGTTTAGTTACAACAAAAACAAAATGAGTTTATCATGATAATTTATAGTAAACAAGAAATCTATTTGTACAGAAAGTGAAACAGTGTATAATTGTCAGTATATGTTCGACTTATATATATTATAAAAAGAACTAATTCTATCAGTCAGTCAGCTACAACGTAGCACCGGGCACATATGTGCATCGGTCTAAGTTGTCATACCTCATTAGCACAACAAGATGAACACCGGATTCATAGAAGTAAAAAAGCAGTAAATGGTGACAGAAAAAGGAAGATTTTATGGATAGATTCACTTTCGTGGATGTTTCAATGTAGTTCTATTCGTTCATGAAATGTTTATTTCTCAGTGAAATGAAAGATTTTATAGTGTAACACTATGAGATGGTGAAGATTTGTAGCTGAAGTGGATGATTTTATTGGAGTTTTGTTCTCTAAGCTAGATGGTTTGGTCGTAGAGCTTTAATTGTTCATTTGAACGACATCATCAGCACAAACTTCAGGTGGAAGTGAAGTGTTCGAATTTCTCTACATGTGGTTCACAGCTTGTATTGTAGACCACGACGTTGATTAGTTCTTGTTGTGCTGACGATGTCGTTCAGAAGAATGATGAAAGCTCCACGACCAAACCATCCAGCACAGAGAACAAAACTCTATCCAAAAAAGTGTAATACTATATTTGAGTCATTATTTGAGATTGGAAATTCCCTTAATGATTTTTTGTGACATCACATATAAACAAAGAATAGCTTAGTAACAGTTGAAGATTTAAAAATCCCATAACTGAAATTTAATGTTGACTTTAAAAAAGTAATAATCGTCTATAAATTCACGTCACGAAATGATTTTGTCTAAATAATCATTAGAAAACATGAAAAAACTGGATAGATGATTCGTTCTAGCATGAAATTCTCTGTTATAGGAGGGATTCATGAATTAAGGGATTCACAAATAGCTCTTAATCTCCAGAACAATGAGTGTGTTGTTCAGTTCTAGACCACAGACAAATTGAGCGATCTTATTTTACATAAACGCTCAACACTCACATTAAGTCTGATCTCAAAATTCTCAAACATTTCTTATTTAACAATCATGAGGATGTACGCAATTACAAATATGACTAATTTCTTAGTGATTCATTTTGTTATATTATTATTGATCAACAGTCAGATATCTTATTGTTCTCTATCCTAATTAAATGAATTATTAAGTATCAACGATACAGTTTGCCGGTTCTGACTATGGCCACATCAAGGTTATACTTGATAATTAAAGGAGTTATTTTGAAAGGCTGTCTTCAATTAAATTACATACATCAGAGTTATCCTCTAATGTTTATGTTCATAAATCAAATATTACCATCAGCACTGAATGTCGGTCATGAAGTATCATGAGTTGATTAAAATAAGAAATGCAAATCATTAGGTTCTGACTAAGTGATATGAAGGTTAAGCGCACACCGCAAGTTCTTAAATCTTTACTTTGTTCCTCCTTCGGTTATGGATGCGTACAGGCGAAGAGTCTCATACGAGGACAAAATATGTCTAATGGATTCTGGTGATCATTGGTTATTCAGCTAAAGTCAATCCGTTATGCGAAACCTCCAGTTTAACAATCCTCAAGTCACCCTATAATAAATATTTCATCAGTAGCAATATAGAAACTTGATTAACCTAACTCTCAAAATAATAAAACATATAAATAATTGGTTAGATTCTATTTAGTTTCAAGAATATCATTACAAAATGTTATACATTGCTGACTATGAAGAATATTGTGAGAAACATGAAGGAGCTGATGAGAGTATTCTAATGTTTTGGTATTACCCAATTTAAGTTAGAACCATTCGGTCTAAAATTATCTAGTGATCGATCAATCACAACTGTTTTAAAAAAAAACCATGTTACAATGTAAATGTTGAAGATAACTTACATTTTTCCTGAGTTGAATTATTTTATATTATATGACATTCCTCTATTACCTGTTTTCACTCTGTATCATAAATTGATTTTATTGAACGGAAGAACTCGTGTGATGGGTAATACTTAAATTCCCCTCTAATATTTCAGTAACAGACATAAAAATCAAAAAGTGTGATTAAGATTCCATAGGTGATATGAACCAGTTAATCTTTAGATATTTTACGTTTTTATAACTTACATATAGATCTGTTTGTGTATTATGTAGTTTCACTGGTTGAAATCATGAGTCAATTGAAGTTAGACCACCATGGAAAAGCTGGAAGCACTGGAAGGCCGTTCCGTCCTAGTTTGGGACTCCTCATGATTTCAACCAGTGAAATTTCTTAAATCTCCACACAATCCCTTCTGATATTATGTAGTTGTCATGTTATCTACTTCAGAAACATAACCTCCAATGTTAACATAAAACAAAGAATAACTATGTGTCAAATGTGTGACATTATATCACTTAAAAAAAACACAACAAACATAACTCACCAGTTCTGGTATATTTTTACTTAACATAGCAGGAAATATACGTGAATAATACTGTTTTTCAGGGGTTTGACTTTTACATCCATATATAAACATTTGTTGCTTTCGACTATGTCCATGTAGATCACAATAAACAACAACTTCATACTGTTTCATGACACTGTAACACATATAAATGAAAATAAATTCTAAATTTAATCACTAAATAATGTTAAATGAAAGGAGTAATATGTACTGAACATATTAAAACAAATGCTATTGATTCAAACATGAGTTACTGTCTTACAGCAGACCCGCTTAAACACCACTGGTCACTGCCTCTCACTAGAACTCCAGGAAATAACTCACAGAGACAGTCACTAGTGCGCATATAATCATTATAATACTCTCACGTTCGCGTGTGAAACTGACAGGTCCTGGGTTCGAATCTCGCGGGAGCGGGATTGTGTATGCTCACTGCTGAGGAGTCCCATACTAGGACGTAACGGCCGTCCGATGCTTCCGGGTTTTCTATGCTAGTCTAGCTTCAATTGACTTATGAATTTGATTAATGAATATATTATTTTACATCATGTATTCGACACTTTCAAGAGGATTGGTTTAATTAGTCTCATTGAGACGAATTATATTTAGGAAACGGTTTGTGAAATTGATTTGATTAACAGTGGTAGAAAAAATTTACTTAAAGATTGTTCTCATTTTTCATCTGATGGTCACAGGATCATCGGAGCAAAATTATGTGATTTAAAAATTTATCATTGTTTCCTGTAGTTGCCTGGGAAATAGGAAGTAAATATAGACTACCACATGAAATTTAGCGGTGTCTTGGTACCATTGCGCTTTGCACTAGTTAGCTTCAGCATAAATGAATTGTTTCTCTGTGCTAATTGTTATGTCCTATAGCCCATCAATTATCACGTGACAAAATCGCCAGTTAGAACACAGACTTATAAAACCTTGGCCCTGTGCCAAACTAATAATGCATTGACCAGCACGAGCAGCTTAGAGTGAACTCCGAATCTTTATTGGTTCTTCATGCCTAGCCCTACCTATTTCAGTCCCGAACACCATCTCAGCTTCCACTGTATGAATCATGTATTTCAGACATACATAGTTTATATACAAGCAAGTCAGAGTGCATCATGACATAAAATAGAAAATAACAATTATACAAGATCAAACCGAAATATGGCTGTGAGTGTAAGAGACTGTAACTAATAAGTTGAAAGTAACTCAAGAATAGTAAATCCTATAATAGTAGCCAGTAGGTAAAATGGAGGGAATACGAATACATATATAGTCTAGTTACTCATTAATTACTTACTTACGCCTGTTACTCGTTACTCATTAATTATCCAGTCAGAATTTAAGAAATGATAGTCCATAAATAATTCCCAGCAGTTATCATTCATTTATTCCTTGATAGGAAATAACATCAAGGACTTTCCCTCGTGAATGTAGTGTAGATTCTCACGAAGCAAATTTCATTATCATTATTGATTCTTTTCAGAAATGAATGCTGAAAAATCATTGCTTACTGAAGATCTATGGGAAAAAACCTTATAAATCTGTTAATTCTCTACTTTAAGAATTACGTTCATTTATTTATCCAGCTTTTTGATTATTCACTCAACATTCAAACATAACATTTGGTTATTGATCTCGATGGGAATGAAATTCACAGATAGAGAGATGAGAATATATTACTCTTTCAAATTCTTTGTATTCTCTTATTAAATGCTTATAATAAGGGAAATCTACCATACTTAGTTCGTTCTGTTTTTATTTACGGCTGCGAAACGTGGCCATTAAGAGTAGAAGATAGTCATAAACTACTAGTATTTGATCACAGATATCTTAGAAATATTGTTCGCATCTACTGGGATCACCGGGCAAGTAATTGTGAGGTTAGACGCAGGGTATTAGGAAATGATGGTAAATCAGTTGATGAGGTATTAAATCTTCATCGACTGAGATGATTGGGCTACGTGTTACGCATGCTTGAACACCGATTACGACGACGTGCGATGCTGACCAGTGTTGGAGATGGTTGGAAGAAAGTTAGGTGTGGCGAAACCAAAATGTGGCATCAGTCCATAATGTCATTAACTTCTAGTCTTAGCCATGTTGCTAGATGCAGACTACTTGGTTGTGATCCGTGTGACTATCGTAATCAATGGATGGAGACTCTTGGTGACATGGCTCAGAATCGATCACAATGACGTAGGTGTATACACTCTCTGTGTTCCTTTAAACTATGAGATTAAAATCACTTTATATCTTTCTTTCTACCAACTGATTCTTTCTTCCTGTACTATATCCTTATATCCAATCTTTGTTTTATATATTACCACCATTGAATTAACTACTTCCATTAATCCGATGTTCATCCTGCTGTGCTAATGTGGTATGGTCATTTGGACCGATGCATATATGTGCCTGGTCTTACGTTGTAGCTGACTGACTAAATGACCATACTCAGGGAAACATTTCTATTCATCATAGCTACATTACAAGTTAAATCTAATCTAATAATTTTGACTGAAATAAAAAGAAATGAATTACTTACTTTATAATCATTTGTTTAGTATGCCAAATTGTAGGAAAGAAACGTTTTAAATTAGATGTATATTTACGATTCAAATCACAACCTGATAATGAACAACGATAATTTCCTACAATTACTCCATCAGGATTTAACATTGGAATTAATTTGAACACAAAATTAGATCTTAATACCTATTCAAAGATAAATGTGAATACATTGATAATTATTTATCATTTAAGTATTTAAAGCTTAATACATTGCAGAACTTCATGAGAATTTATTGTAAACTAGAGTTTGAGAAAGAGCAGACTGTGTCAATAACAACAATATTTTTACTAAACAAATAACATCTGATGATGTCATTCTCTTCCCAGTTATTTCAACATTATTCATTAGAAGTACAACATTTAATAGTTATATTCATAAGTTAATTGAAGCTAGACTACCATGAAAAACCTGGAAGCATTGAATGGTCGTTTCGTCCTAGTATGAGACTCTTCAGAAGTGTGCATCCTTGATCCAGCATCGAGAGACTCAAACCCAGGACCTATCAGTCTCGAGAGCGAACGCTTTACCTTTAGATCACTGAGCCGACATCCAACAGTGTTAATTTCTAACTTCAACCAATCCAATAAATTGCATCTAGTGAACTGATTTCTAATTGATCGTGGGAATCCATAGTTAGACGATTTTCACTCATATTAAATTTAAAGATTCTAAAAATGAAAGTCAGAAATATCTAGAAAAACATACTCTATTCTATATTTAACTTCCTTAAACTTTTTCTGTCCATCCTATTATTCATGAATTTGTTCAAGACAAGCTCTACTTCATTATGCATTCATAACTTCACGTGTTATTTTTGAAGCAAGTTATACTGCCTACAAAAATTGGTCATCTTTAGAATGTATCTCCAAAAGTTACCTCTTCCTGTTTACTATCGAAAAGTGTTGAAAGTCAGTCAATAGCTCAATTCTTGAACACGTTACAGATTTAGGTCAAGTTAGTTCAATAAAATTATCACTCGAAATTGTTACTAATATGGTTATATGAATTGATTTCAAATTTTAGACTTCATGTAACTCTTAGAGCATTGCATGCAGATAACATAAAAGGAAAAAGAAATATTTTGGTTACAACAAATTGTTGATAAACATTAGATATATCTCGATAGTGTGATGAAAGGACGATGATGATCAGAACTATGTGATGGTATATTAGTGCAATACACTTCGAACAATCTGATCACATATATACTTGTTAAGAACATTTATATATAAAAATAAAAGTTAAACTAGACTAGAAAAGGAGGATTAGAGGAGAAAAAGTTAATCAAGAAAATAATAATTTGAAAACAATTTGAAACTTCATTCACTCTGCATAATAATTTGATATTGCCAAGGTAGGTCTAAGTTTTTTTTGAATACACAAAGGGGGTTTGAATTTTTGTATGGCTAAGGCTTCAATAAACCTCCCTTTTATACTTTTGTACAACACCACAAAAGCCGAGTTAAGATCAATTATATGACTTGTTTCAATTATGTGTTTGGCAGTAGAGGATGATGGATGTTTATCCTTTACTCTTATTGAATCATTTGATTTTATTTGTTTCTGCAAATGTATTGCTCTAAAATATCATCATATAGTTCTAATAATCTTCGTCTTCTTACTACATTATTTTTATATCTAGAAGGTTGTTACTTGATATACCGCGTATAACTGAGCACTAGAACGCCAAAACCCTTCCAAGTCGCAAGGAGAAGACAGAAGACTAATGAAAGGAATATTATTCCAAACAGTGTCAATTATGGTACAAATTGTCAGGTATTTATAGTTTTTAGTACGAACAAAATCATCATTGCAGTCCTCTAATCCGCATACAGGGGGTTATTAGCCTTGTCCAATCGGGAAGCTACACGTAGGAATTCTAGAACATTCTTCCAAAAGGTGATTGGATGGAATATTTTCGGCTCCTTCTGAGCCTCTTACAGCTTCCTCGAGTTCACCCGTGGTCCGTCGTCACAATTATCAAAATTTATAAAAGGTACTAATTGCTTTAAAAATATGATAATTCAGTTTAACTCGAATTAAAACTAATTCTTCATGTTGTGATGAGTCTCTTTCAAGAAAATCTAATCAAATATCAAAATAATCAAATGCGAATAAATGGTTCACTGGTTAATTGTTTACTTAACAAGACAATTTGACTTACATTAACTTAGTACCCAAATACTGTGTAACTATTCAATTGAATTCAGATAAAATCATATATAAATTGTTTAACCAATGTTTATATTGAATTATTAAATATAGAAGAAATCTTTTAAGTGGATGAAAATAAAATTACATACCTTAGCATCTGGATCTGTACTTATAAGAAAATCCAATAAACCTTTCATCATCCAGCTACCTTGTGTTTCACCAGGATGTACACGTGCTGTAATTACAACGCATCGTTTCTTCTCCATTGGCTTATTATTATTATTATTATCATCATCATCATCAGTAGGTTGTGCTTGAAAATCTGAACGTGACTGAACAAAAACACTTAAGTCAATAGATGAAATAGATCAATTTAGTGCAATATATAAATATACTTTAAGCAATAATAAGTAATTTGTGCACAAATAACACTAATATTTTCACACATTTTCAAGACATAGGATGTGCTATGTCCCGACAAGAATAGTGAATGGTAATTTTGGGATCCATTCGTGGACCAATACAATATTTCTATCATATAATTGTTAATTAACTAAACTATTCATATTCATGTTCCTCTTATTTTAAGCTTTATTTTGACCTATGAATCATTATTATACGTTTTACCATTCTTGAATTATGCCCTCTCTATTAGTTACTGCCTCCCACATTCACAGCCACATTTGGCCAAATTTAGTACAAATGTTATTTTCTATTTTATGCTACGTTGTGGTCTGTTTGATTAGTATATAAACTCAGTATGTTTGAAATATAACAATTCATATCGCAGAGGCTGAGACTGGCGTTCTGGACTTAACTGGCTGGGCTAGGAGGAAAGCAGGGCCAATCAGAACTCTAGGCCGCTCGCACGTGTTTTACGCGTCCTTGGTCCGATCGATACTCACTGCCCTCTACTCGGCGGCCCCTCAATATATAACAGGATGGCAGCATCAGTCACTGTTATGCAGATTAGTCCATTTGATGAATGTAAGTTGAATTTAAAATGTATCATGTATGTTTCACTATTATTAATGACTTTTCATTTCGAGTCAAACTATAAATTTAACTTACATCAAAATAGGATTCTGCTCTACACAACAAATTCACAATGAATTACATAACCCCATTTCTCGCAAACATAAACGGTTTCCTATACTTTATTATTAAACTAGAAAATATCAGAATAGTTCCTTATTGTTAATGGTAATAACAAAACATATTCTGGTTGTATTAAAAGATAAATGGAAATATTATTCTTTCTGAGAATGCATTAGAGTCAGTCAGCTACAATGTAGGACCAAGCACACATATTCTCCGATACGACACAGCATGCAACAATCGAATCACACTTGACGGAGAGGCTTTGGAAGATGTAAAATCCTTTACATATCTGGGCTGCATCATTGATGAACACATTGGATCTGCTGCAGATGTGAAGGCGCTGATCGACAATTGAAGAACATTTGGAACTGAAAACAACTGTCAACCAACATCAAGGTCAGAATTTTCAACACAAATGTCAAGACAGTTCTACTGGCTACAATGCATCTCACCGGTTGTGATACTTGATTCCTTTAGATTTGATCTGGGTCACTTGTTCATGACTTGAATTAAATAGATGCTCAGTGGTTCATAGGTGTTTCAATAAATATTCAGCTCACTCCAATTCATGATAAAGTTAAGTCTTAAGATATTATCCATTTTAAAATTCACTTAATTTTACAAATCTTAAATTCAAATGTCTCTTTTCCCAAAATACTTATGATGAGGACTTATACATGCCAGATCGATGGTCCAGAAGTTAAGCGTTTGCGCGCAAGACCGAACGTCCTGGCCTGGATTAACATGTGCAGGATCGTGGATGTGCACTGTTGAAGAGTCCCAGTGCTTACAGGTTTCCAATAGTGATTTAACTCAAATGAGTTCATGATTTTAAAGAAACTCAACAATCTCTACAATCCCTTACTGACACATTGATATAATTATATAGTCTGTTTTATTAAAATAGTATCTACTCAATTACATGGCATTTATATATTAAGTCCCTGAATATATTTAGTATGTTAAAACGTAAGAACCATAGCCAACAACAAGTTCGATGTACAACAAAACATTTCACTAACCTTATTCCGAACTTGATCAACATTGTTATTATCACCACTATTACGTTCATCATAATCATCTGGCTCTGTAATGGTTAATAAAGGTACTGGATTATTAGCTAATGTATAACAAAGGGTTGTCTGTTGACATATTCTCTTAATTGACGAATTTAATGCTAATTTATTTAAATATTCTTGAAGTTGGGTATATGTGTATGGATAACATGCAGCAAAGTATACAATATCATTTGGATAGGGGAATTTGAATTTCCATGTTAGTGAATATGTCTGATGTAATTTAGAAGTATCATCCTTTTGTGGTTTGTTTTTGTACTGTAGTTTATTGTCAGTAGATTCCATATATCTATAATTTGAAAGAAAATATGTTATTTTAATAAAAATGTGAGTGATTTTAACAGAATAAATAGAACTGGTGAGATTTGACATTTTTCGATAAGGAAATAGGAAGCTTTCCAATCGAGGACGGATAGTGGCTAGCAATGGAATACAGGACGCGTGTTTCATCCTTTTTGGGACTCGTCAGCTCAATGCATACATATCACAGAGTTATTCTTCATTCCAAGACTCAAATAAAGTACCGTTTGCTTCAAACGCCATCGCGTTATCCACTTACCTACTGAGTTCTGATAGCCAACTGCTTCTGTAAAGGGTTGAAATTTAAATTCACTTAATGTTGTTTGCTTTCATCTTCCCATTGTTGCTGAGGTCTGAAATTGATCAGTCTCTTGTTGGCATATGTGCATCTTGTGCGGATTGCCTCGATATTGCCTTAAATCACAAGCTTTTTAAAGCGAAGATGAAATTAGCATAAATGTGATAGGTTCAAGAGCGCTGAAGGAGAATTAGTTGACGAAAAGTATGCTTTATTAAAAAAAATTAAACAGTTTAAACTAATAACTATCCCATTAAACGTGCTAAAAACTGTAAGAAAATTAGAAACTTCTTTGTTTACTGTAATTTCATTTTAAGAAAGTTGTTTAACACAACCTACGTTTAAACTGGTGTAGAACTTAGAAATAATTACACCAGTTATGATAACTCATTTCATTGACGAAATTACCGAGACTTTGAATGTTTGATTCACTTAATTACTTAAACCTGTTATCATTCGTGTGGGAGGATAAGCCACCGACCATCAGTCGCCATCCGATTCTGTCCTAGGCTCTTCTTCCGAGTTGTTTCCAATAGCTAGTCATTCTGTTGATGTCTGCCTCCAATACCGAACACAAAGTGATCTTTTTGGTCTGTCTCTCTTAATTTTACCTTCAGCATTCTTAATTGAGACTTGCCTCGTGATGTAGTTTCATGGTTTCTACAATGTGTGTTCTATACACTACAACAGTATTTTCCTAACTTCCTCATCAGCTCAGAGTCAGTTTGTTATCTTCCACAGTAGGTTGTTCCTGATGGTAATCAACCAAAGGACATTCACTATTTTGTGTAAACAGTTGTTTATAAATACTTATACTCTTTTGATGATGATTGTAGTAGTTCTCCAAGTTTCAGTTCCATACAATGGAACTGTCTTGACGCCTGCATTAAAGATTCTGACTTTGATGTTGTTTGATAGTTGTATTGAGCTGCAGATGTTCTTCAGTTGCATTAGGTTCTCCTTGTTCATCGATGTTACTACTAACCAGGTACTTAAAGCTTTCTACCTCTTCCAGATCTTTTCTATCAAGTGTGATTGGGTTAGTGTTCTCTGTTTTGTATTTCAGGATCTTTCTTTTTTGTATATGTTCTCGCCTACTGCTACAGAGGCTGTTGCTACACTGTCTGTCGGTGTACATGGGATTTTATTTACTTCATGTTACTAATATCCTTAAGATAAGCCTCCGTTTAAATCATTTAGAGTATATCAATTATAAAATGTAATACTTAAAGATATATAGCTTTCAGTACATAGTTTTATTCTAACTCCGATGATGTGCCTTGGTTTTAGGATTTTCTGAACATTAGTTTTCGATGGTATTTACCATGGTACGTTAATAATTGTCAATCATTAACTAATTAAGTCAGAGAATGTCGATCATTTAATCTCAACTCAATAATCCCAGACAACGAACTCGATAAAATGTCTGAAACGTCTAGGTTCTGTTTCTGGGATACTCATGGATGAACAATGACGATGAGCCCTTCTAAAACGAAACAACCGTAGGGAGTTTTCTAGCATTTAATCGTGCCCAAGTTGATGTCAATATATAAGAAATACCGTCCATATAATCATATTTTTGTTGCTATGAGAATGGATCAAAGAGTACGAATGTTTAATGAGTATGCTTTAGTAGCGTTGATTCAAAGCGAAATGCAAATCAAGACTTATTTTATTTATTCGTGACCAGCAACAGATATAAGAAAGAGAGCAGTTTTACTTTCTGGCTTTTATCAACCATCAGACAGTTAGCAACTGTAAAAAATGTAAAGTATCATTAACTGACGATTTCTTACTGTGTCCAATAAATATGTAACTCCAGACTATGAAGCATTGGTTTTACAAACTTTTAGGTTCATCAATCCAACCTCCTTTTGATGCTTTACTAATGTGATTTGTATTTCCATTCTTTAAAACATAACTTGAAGTCTTCAGAATACAAGTTCTTCAGCTTCCTTGTCTTCTTTCGATCAACACAGTCGTTTGTTCAGACAATTTTTTCAAACTGTATTCATCACCAACTATCCATACAGTGAATAAAGGGTCAAAAGGCACAATACAGAGTACACGTTTGGTTTTTTATTCAACATAAGAGGGGGGATGTAGCTAGTTTTGAACTTGAATTATACCCCTGACCCACGTTGCAAGATCTGTTTGTTATTGAATGGTTTCTATAAATAGCACCAAACATCTCATAAATTATCAAGTTTTATCTAAAGTGTTATAAAGCTTAGTTTATGTATTTATTAAACAGAGTTATACACACGAACAAAATCAGTATATCGCGAAATTATTGGGTTCATGGGTCAATTGAACCTAGAACCCCATGGAAAACCTGGAAGCACTAGACGGTTGTTTCATCCTTTTGTGGGACTCCTCAGCACTGCGCATCCATGATCCCGCTCGTGGGATTCGAACCCAGGGCCTTCAGTCTCGCGCGCGAACGCTTAACCTTTAGATCACTGAGTCATGACATTGTACAAGAGAAATTAAACTGATATTGATAAATAAGTAAGTCCGAAGTTATAAATAGAATAAACATTGAGTTGATTCTTTAAAATCTCTTATATTCTTATATAAATAATAATAGAAGTAAACATTCTATACTGAATAGAAATAATAAATTCATATAAACATTGACTAACTTTGTTTGATAGTAATTTATATCACTACCAACACGTTGCCATCCAATACCAGTTAATTTAGCCATTTTCTCACTGTACATTAATGGTCTCATACCTTGTGCAAATAAACTAGTAGACTGTAAATTGTAAGTAAAAGTCAAAAATTACTAATTTTTTTAAATAGGAGGCTAATTTACATATTATCTCTCTTTCCAACTCATTGAAGAACGTTTAAGTTAGAAAATGAGCTATTTTATAAATAATTCACTTCTGATAGTGTAATCAAATAGATTTGAACAAATAATGTATATATTTCGTCCTAATATGGGACTCCTTAGCAGTGCGCAACCATGATCCCACCTCTCGAGATTCGAACCCAGAACCTTCAGCCTCGGGCGCTAATGCTTAACCTCTAGACCGCTGACCCGTATCCAACGGTGCTAATGTTTAACTTCAACCAATCCACGAGATTGCGTGACCATGTTCCGTTGTGTTATTGTATTATACCTGCCTCTACTTGATATTTATTAGCTCCACTGGTCACAGCTTTTCACTAGAACTTCAAGAATTCCTTCACGAAGCTAGTCACTAGTGAACAAATGGTTCTTGAATGCGCACTGTTGAGGAGTCCCATACTAGGACGAAACGGCCGTTCTGAGCTTCCAGGTTTTCAATGGTTGTCTTACATCAATCGATTCATGATCTTGATCAAAAAGATAATTCTTAGTTCAATTTATTATATTTTCAAAGGTAATTGTCAGGATCCTGTAAGGGATAGCAAGGATAATGAGTTGTACTAATAATGTTTTATTTTTGCCAACCATTCTTCATCATGTTGGACACATATCAATCACATGTTGCTAAAGATTCATATACTGAAAATATAACTGTACTTTCTTGAAAGTTTACAACTTGGAGATTGTAAGTTATGTCCATAACTAACCAATCAAATAGTTGTTTAAGCACCCACCACGTTAATCTGATTTGATGTATTTGTAAACTTACCCTATTGCATGTGACTTGCCAATCAAAGGACATTATTATCCTATTATATTAGTGTATCTCTTCATTTTTATTCATTTCGATAATACACTTAATACTGGTCGAAACTTTATAGGATTTAATTTGTCTTACAGATATTCTACTAGAACTATAAACGCGATACTGGTCACCGCAGAGTCCTTGTTCTGACTATAACTTTCACAAAGACTATGGGGTCGCCAGTATCACTTTTACAGTTCTAACAGCTTACATATCATATCAATTTGAATATATAACGTTAACAGATGAAAACCATACAAATATCAAGCTTCTAATTTATTGTACTTTAACACTTATGATATACTGAATCGATTATGGAGGTAATGTTTTAGATTGGATAGTATATTAATTCAAAGATAAATATTGTAGAGACCAAAAAGAGTTTTTAGAGATAACAATCAATTATGTTAAGTGCAAGAATAACTGCAACTGGGTAAAAGGTGTTGGTAAAATGCTTCGCACCATCAGCTGTTTTATGAAAACTAACGATATAACCATCACATGTTAAATCTTTATTGAATCATTTACTTTAAGGGATCATTGTTGTTAAACACTGATAAATATACTTTTGAAATCCACTTGTTGAACAATAAATACCTTTCTAGGTTCTTTATATTTGATTAATTAATGACAAAAATATAAAGTAATCCTGTGTTGGTCTAAAAAAGTATCTTTATAAAAGTAAGTATTAGGACAAAATACGCATCCTAGATTACTCTGTTAGCTACCATTCGTCTTTGCTTATAAAATTTGTGACCTAAGGTAATAATATCAAGGCAGTCCGCACAGGATGTACATATGTTAATAAGAGACTGATCAGTTGCAGTCCTAAACATCAATGGGGAGATAAAAGCAAATAATACCAAGTGAATTTAAATTTCATCCCATTTCAGAAGCAGTTGGCTATCAGAACTCAGTAGCTAAGTGGATAACGCGATGGCGTTTGAAGCAAACGGTATTAGATTTGAGTCCCAGAGTGAACGTCATCTCTGCGATACAGGTACATCCAGATGATGATTTCCAAATAGGACGAAACGCGCGTCTTGTATTCCATTGCTGGGCCACTATTCATCTTTGCTTATAAAATTTATGACTTAAGGTAATATCGAATAATTTTTCTGGTTAGCGTTTTTTAGCGAGTTAGTTTTCTACGGGATGGGGTCGCTAACCCCATGCCCAACCTTCCTCCTTTATCCGGGCTTGGGACCGGCAGTAGGTCCGGAGGAAGATGTACAAACCTTTACATATTTGGGCAGCATCATCGATGAACACGGTGGATCTGATGCAAAGCAAGAGCAGCATATTTATAACTGAAGAACATCTGGAACTCAAAACAACTGTCTGTCAATCAATACCAAGGTCAGAATTTTCAATACAAATGTGAAGACAGTTCTACTATATGGGGCGGAAACCTGGAAAACCACGAAAGCCGTCATCCAGAAGATACAGGTGTTTATTAACATTTGTCTACGCAAAATACTTCGGATCCGTTGGCCGGACACTATAAGCAACAACCTACTGTGGGAGAGAACAAATCAGATCCCAGTGGAGGAAGAAATCAGGAAGAAGCGCTGGAAGTGGATAGGACACACATTGAGGAAAGCACCGAACTGCGTCACGAGACAAGCCCTCACATGGAATCCTGAAGGCCGAAGGAGGAGAGGAAGACCAAAGAACACATTACTCCGAGAAATGGAGATAGACATGAGAAAGATGAACAAGAACTGGATGGAACTAGAAAAGAAGGCCCAGGACAGAGTGGGTTGGAGAATGCTGGTCGGCAGCCTATGCTTCATTGGGAGTAACAGGAGTACGTAAGTAAGTAAGTAAGGTAATATCGAGGCAGTTCGCACAGAATGCACGTATGCCAACAAAAGACTGATCAACTGAAGTCCTAAATAACAATAGGAAGATACAAGTAAAACAACATCAAGTGAATATAATCATTATGTAATGTTACCTTATAAAAATTTACAATTGTAAATCTATAATTGTTATAATTCTCTGTATTTTGCACACGAAAATAAAACCATTGTGTATATTTTTTTGTATATAAATCTGGTCGTAGATAAAGTTCATATTCATAAGGACCACTAAAATTCAAGGGAAAAAGAAAAACCTCTTTATAGTAAACTATAAGCAAATTAACAAATATGCAAAAACAAGAAAATTAAATTTCATATATGGTGGGTGAAGTTAACAAACAGATGTTAACATTATGTTAGAGCACATGTGATTAAACTGTAATTTACAGAAGGGTATTTGCATGATCTTTCCCTATAAGTCCAATCATCAACTAGTTCACTTATATTATCAGTATAGGGGTTGTGGAGATTATTAAGATTTGATTGAGATCATGAACCGATTGATGTTAGACCATCGTTGGAAACCTGTAAGCACTGGACGGCCTTTTTGTCCTATTTTGGGACTCCTCAGTAGTGCACATTCACGATTCCGATATTCGAATCCAGGGCCTTCAGAGTTTCGCGCGCGAACGAATAACCTACTGGACCACTTATATGTTGTCAGTAGGAATAATGGACTTTCTATTTTAGCATTTGAAACACTAACTAATGAACAACTAAGAAAACCTTAACGTTAATTTGTCTTCTGGTGCATTATAAAACAAAGTTAAATCAAAAGATAGTAAATACTTTATTTCACTATTGTACTCTAATCCATCATGACTTCAAACATGTAAAACACTAAATTTGTAATCTTTGATCATACGGGAACACAATCAAGGAATTACAGTGTGTACATAGCTCAGTGATACAAAATTGAGCCTTTACTATTTGGTTGTTAGATTTTATTAACAAGTTCTGTAATTTAGTGTCAAATACATCCGATTGTTCTCCACTGGTGTTCTGTTCACTACACTACAAGTTATAATTTTACACTACTTGTCCCATTTTACCAATTGTATATCAAATTTTAAACTGATATAGTAATCGAGATAGTGGAGAAGATTTGTAGCTCAGTTGGATGGTTTCCATGAAGTTTTATTTTCTGAACTAGATAGTTTGGTTGTGCTCAGTTAACAAAACTCAGTCAAACGACGAAAACTATCCAGCTCAAAGAAGAAAACTTCATGTTGACAACGAAAAAATGATACTCAATGACAAATTCATTTTGAAACTGTGAAATCAAAAGTGAGACTAGTTTAATAGACTGTATTTTACAGATTTTAAAACACTGATGAAATTTGAAATTATTCATACAATTGGTTTGTGGGAATATGTTCAGATTGACGACTTATTATAGTTGAAGAACTATTAAAAACCACGTTGCCCCAAACCATCCTAGTCGATGAAGATTCACAATATCATCAAATGATTGTAAATTAGTTGATAAATCGAATTGTGAATCTTCATCGACTGGGATGGTTGGGTCACGTGTTACATGTGCTTGAACACCGATTACCACGACGTGCGATTCTGAATAGTGCTGGGGAAGGTTGGAAGAAAGTTAGAGGCAGTCAGACCGAAATGTGGCATCAGTCCATAATGTCACTAACTTCTAGTCTGACCCATGTTGGTAGATGCATACAAATTGGTTGGGGTCCGCGTGGCTATCGTAACCAATGGTTGGAGACTCTGAGTGACATGGCTCAGAATTGACCACAATGGTGTAGGTGTATATACTCGCTGTCTTCCTTTAAACTATGAGATTAAAATCACTTCATATCTTTGTCTCTACGAACTAATTCTTTCTTCCTGTACTATGTTCATATGTGCAATCTTTCTTTTATACATTACTACCACTGAAGTGATTACTTCTATGAATTTGGTGTTGATCATGTTGTGCTATTGAGGTGTGACAACTTGAACCGATGCATATAACTGCTTGATCATACGTTGTAGCTGGCTAATTAAAAATCAAGAGATCTGTTTCGTCCTAGTATAACACTCTTTGGCAGTACGCATCTAACTGCCACATCAGGATTCCAACCTAAGAAATTTAAGTTTCATGGTTTACACTTAAATTGTAGACCACATTCAATGATTTCCATATCTTTCATACTATAATCGATGTTGTCCTAATATCTTCCAAAAATCGTGTTAATTAATGCTCAAAACTGATGGCAATCTGTGAGTAAGACACAACGTGTTCTTTGATCTGCCTTTTTTTCTTTCACCTTCAACATTCCTAGTTGAGACTTGCCTCGAGATGTAGTTTTATAGTTTCTACAATGTGTGTCCTATTCACCACAAGAGTCTTTCCTTAATCTCCACTTCAACTTGAAGTCAGTTTGTTATCTTCCACAGTAGACTGTTCTTGATGGTATCCAATCAACGGACATTCACTATCTTGTGTAAACAATTGTTTATAAATATTTTTACTCTTTTGATAATGATTCTCTCGGTACAAAATCAGATTTATTGACTCTCATCTATAGACTTTAAGCAAAAAGTAACTCTTGGTTCATTATATTGCCCCAAATGCCCTGGTACGGCCGGGAGTGGGGAGAGTCTGCTCTCCCTCTCCAAATGTTCTGACATGGTCACGTGCACACAATCACTGCTAGGAAAGTCCTATTCACTGCCTTCTAGGGACATTACTGTTGTTTACGAAATTGAGAGGACGAAAAGCATAACGTCGGCGCTTTAACCATGTTGGTGGACACAGAGACTTCACATAGGGGAGTTGGAAAACCCTGATTGCAAAACAATAGTTCACATAGGCTCCAGGATCCTGAAGGAACAAATTGCGTATGAACCAATCGTTGGTCGCCAGCTATCTCGGAACTATATTTCCTTACGATGCTCCACTGTCTTGTCAATCAGACCCTAAGAAAACCACCTGCTTCGGTTCGGGTACCCGGGTAGTATCACAACCCTCGCACAAACCAAATGAGATTTGTGTGGCGCATATCTATTTGGTTCATCATATTACCATCAATCATAACTTTCTCTCTGAAATGTATCCATAATGAAAGATTTGTACTCCACATATGTACTTTATTTTTCATCAAAATGTCATTTGATTATCTTGATACAAGATTTAAATGATATAGTTTTATATAATATAAAATATTAACGTTAGAACCATTTGTTTTTCTGTCCTTTACAACACACATGAATAGTTTATTATGATTTCTATACATCATTTATTTGTTCTGATTTATAATTTAATCAAACTAATGAAAGATATTTTATGAATTCTAATTAGATTATATATCACATGCAATAATCATTAAACTAGTTATTACATAATAGATAGTATTGGCATTAAAACTATTAAATTATACACAAATCTAATGTATTCCATATCTTTATATATAGATATATTCTCTTCAGTTTTAATGATAAGTACATTTGTTATATACATTTATCATTAACAAATGTATAAAGAAAGATTTATTTGTAAATGTGTGAAGTTATAATACATGACAAGGATAGAGTGAGTTGAAGAATGCTAGTCGGTGGTCTATACTCTATTGGGAGTAAATAATACATTATAGGCTTCTTAAGTTGTTAAATCTATATAGTATCAAATCCTCTGTTGTCTTCTGTGAACAAGTAAATATTATGTAGTGTCCGTTCATAAGTTAGATCCACATATAATATTTTAATTTCTGGACAAATCAACTTATTCATTCTCCTTAAGCTACATTTATTAACATTGTCAATGATGTCCTGGTACGAGCCCCCAAATGCCCTGGTACGGCCGAGAGTGGGGAGAGTCCGCTCTCCCTCTCGAAATGCTCTCACATGGCCACGCGTATATAGCCTCTGCCAGGGAAGTCCTACTCACTGCCTTCTCGTGGCGGGGGTGTTGTTTACAAAAATGAGAGGACGAAAAGCGAATGTCTGGCGCTTTAACCGGACCCCAAACCAATGGTGCACATGGGCTTCAGTATCCCGAAGGAACAAATGGCGTATGAACCAATAGTTGGTCACCGGCTTCCATGGGACTGCATCTCCTTACGATGCTCCACTGCCTTGTGGATCAGACGTTCAGGTCAAAGGCTCGGGGTGTGGCCCCCTAAGAAAACCACCTGCTTCGGTTTGGGCACCCGGGCAGTATCACAGCCCTCACACAAATCAATTGAGATTTGTGTGGCGCATATGTATTTGGTGCCTCCCTGTACCTATACTTATGTGTTAAAATAAATAATAAAATAAATAAATAATATTTTAATTTCTGGACAAATCAACTTATTCATTCTCCTTAAGCTACATTTATTAACATTGTCAATGATGAACGTGTATGAATTTCTCATCTTGCTCATTACACATCTGTAACTATAAATATTGATTAACATTTGATTAAAGGGAGTTGATTTATATGCCTTCTCCACTGCGCGTCGTCATCGTTTCGCTTCGATCTCTTCTCTTCACTTCATTCCTCTAATTATCTGACCGAATCAATGAGTGTATAAAATATATGTATTTAAAAATTTATTCTCGTACTCGACTAATTTAATTCCATTATTTACTAATACAATCTAAGTCGATAATTATAGACGAGTAGTGACGATATATTATTATTATTAGTGGCCTTATTCAATATTATATATTTGGTACAATATAGAATTCTCAGCACAAAGTATTTCAACGACTTTCCCTTTCTTATTTCTTGATCAGTTCCTTGAGATAAATATTGAATGGTCGCCAGTTAGATGTTAGCGGTTCAAGAATGGACATCTGATAAATGTATATCCTTTTCGATGCATATTGCCAGTAACTATGATGTTTCTGATTGAGCTCTTTTGTAACTTGTACAGCGAAATGTTGTAAACTTTTCACAAACGCACCTGAATAGGTTATGAGACTAATAGGCATAATGATGTGTTAAAACAAACAAGAAAACAGATAACTTGTTGAAATATCCAAATGGCAGGAACAGGTAGCTCAGATATTCAAGCAGGCCTCCTGTATATATATCAATAATAATCAATCATACAATCTAACTTAAGTCGCAATTCGGATTACAATCTGTTAAAATGAACATTCATGGATCATAAAGCATAGATCTCAATAGTTAGATCAAATATTAAATAGTTATGCTATTTTAAATACTATTAATCTATTTTACAGTAAATTGATGGTTTATTCGTAGCAACTGATACATTTGTGGGGTTATGGATAAAAAGCTTATTTTGTAAATAGTTTTTAATGTTATTTGTATTTATTTCGTCAATTTTTCATTGTATATACATTTATCATTAAATGATTGTACGTGTTGTTTATGTGTATGACATTGAACACACTTTCTTCTGTCGTGTTACACTCATAGCATGACACACAGTTAACTGTTTAGCACATACCTATTGTTCTTCATTGCTTGTGATTGTGTTAACTGAACTCTAAATCAAATACCATTTACATTTATAGACTGTAATTGAAACATATCATAATCTACGTTGAATTATACCACTGGGAGTATATCAACCTCACCGGAATTATTAACCATCTATAATTGTACATATTTCGTACCAGATCAAATCAGAACACGTACTAACCTGATGAACTAAGTAACGTCCCTCATTTCTATTGTGTTCATAACATTTAATTTATATATTATAATTATTTGCCCTTAATAACTCTGTTATTACTTTTTGAGTTAGCATATTTTCTGATCCACCACCATACATTTTCTCTCCTACAATGTAGATTGGATTCTATTTAATTAACCATTTCTCTATTAGGAAATCAAAGATATTGAAAAATTTCAATATTAATCATTTTATCAAAATGATTACATAATGAATTGATTATAGATTTCATTTTCATCAAACTTTAATGTTCCCTATCACTACTTATACTTTCAGTACCTCTATCACTATGGGATTTGAATCGATAACTGAATCTCTGTGCTAATGTGGTATAGCAACTCGAACTGATGTACGTACGTACGAAGTTCCACGTTGTTACTGACTAACTGACTGACTGAGATTTCATTTAATATCATCTATTGATAAAATAAGTAATATATAACTTACGTGCATATAGCTTTTGATAAGTTACCACTTTCAAAACGTGATTCAAATTTTAAAAATTTAGAATCATTTAATAAATTGTTTGGTTGACCAACACTTTCATGAGATTTAGAAGCGGTAAACTAAAAAAGAAAAGAAAAGAAAAAAAGAAAAAGGAAAAGAAAACACTTAAGAATGAAAACGAATATTTATGTATTGTATGTTTTTAATCAGTAACTAAAACATATTTTTATACAATTATTGTTTGAACTATTTTGGTTAGTAAAAAAAAGTTATCGACATAGAAATCATGATAATATTAAGATGTACTATTATATTATAGTTGAAATCATGAGTCATTGGAAGCTAGGCTACCATGGAAAACTTGGAAGCATTGATCACTAATGACTGACTTTAAGATACATTTCCTGGAACTTTAGTGAGAAGCAGTAAACAATCGAGTTCAAACCAGGTCCGTTGTGAGATATCAGCTCACTGAAGACAATAGTGAACGGTGGCTCAATTTCGTGGATTGGTTGAAGTTACATATTAACAGCATTGGATACCGGCCAGCTCAATAGTCTAATGGTTAAGCGCTCGAGCGCGAGACTGATAGACCCTGGGTTCGAATCTCGCGGGGAGCGGGATTTTATATGCGCACTGTTGAGGAAACCCACAATAGGACGAAACGGCCGTCCAGTTCTTCCAGGTTTTCCATGGCGGTCTAACTTCAACTGACTGGTGATTTCAACTATTGGAATTACTAAAATTTCCACAAAACCTCTTCTGATATTACATTATAGTGAAAAGGATTTTATTTTATGTAATATTTCTGTAGAAATAAATGCTAAATGAATAAATCCTGACCGTTGCCGCAAGGTCGGGCTTGCCGGTCGTAATAAACCAATCGAGCTATACTGTCTGAAACAATAGTTCCTCAAGGTCCTACCATTCCAGACAGGTCGGCCGAAGAGCGGTAAGATTAAAAGCAGCAAAACCAAGATCCGAGGGCGAAGTCGTACTACTGACTGTATAGAGGTGTGACGGAAGTAAGGTGTTTCCTTCAGACAATAAGCATAACAGCGACGCTACCTATTCACAAGGAGGTGTAAATCATTCAAAGTTTTGCAGTAAGCGTGTGACTTTGAATCTATTGTCTTTGCATAAGCATAGACCTAAATTGTGGGTTAAAAGTAAAACTGCGAACATAAATTCGACTGAAAAAACGTTGAAATTCCGGATTATGTAAGTTCAAAAATTCCTTAACATTCTCTGAAAAAAAACAGATTTCATATCAGTCCGCAACCAGTAGACACAAGGAATTAGACCAAACCTATCCATCTATTCTAAAAAGAGTCGATCAACAACCTGGTTATGGTTCAGTGTAAAAAGCTAGTTAACTTGAACACAAAAACAATCAAATAAACGAGGACAACAGGACAAACATTCGGTGTCCATAGGAGTTATTTTCTACATAAAGTACGCTCTAATGATGTTGAAAACTCCACAATTAAATTATCTAACATACAGAATTCAACAACACCAGAAGAGTAAGTTTTAATTCGAAGATTAACTTATATGGACAATATTGGGGATCTTCATAGAATTTCGTGTTTCTTGGAAATTTGGACACTAATAAGATATTCGACATGATTAATTTTTATTTAACCTATATCAACCGGTCTACAAAACAGATATTCATTATTCAAGTACTTTTGAATAACAAAACATTCTCATCTATTTCTTTCAAGTTGTCAAAATGACTAATGAGGATGAATAGTATACAATTATAGGTCTATCAGATTTAATAGAAATAATAAGATTTTAAATGTTATGTATAGTTTAATTGATAAGGATGTACTATGATGTGTTTTAAATGGACCGTTTCAGTAGAAATACTTATTATTTGTGAAAACAAAAGTGAACTGACATTACCATACATAGTTCTGTTAATGATTCCTCAAATTTAGCCCATCAAGAAATTGATATCGGATAAATAGAAATAAATTTATAGGGTTCTGTGGAGATAATTGAGTGATGTTGAGATCTCGAATCGGCCTAAGTTAGACAACCATTGAAAACTAGGAAACATTGAATAGCTGCTTCGTTCTAGTACGGGACTCCTCAGAAGTGAGGATCTATGAAACAACCGGGACCCAACGCAGGACCTTCAGGTCACATTGGAAACGTTTAATCCTTCAGACATCTGAATGTGCACCTAGTGGTGTACTGTGACCAAATCATATAATCACTATTGACCGATTTTGAGTGAGAAAGTTTCGGAGTTCCAGTCATAAATCGTCATTAGCCGAATATGATGGGGTTACACATTGAAGACAACGGAAATCTAAATTTCTCATTTATTTCTAGCGCAAAACAATTTATTAATTTAAGATAAGCTTAATTTTACTTGACTTCAAACAAATAATGTTATATTATAATCTTAAATAAATCTCCTAATATGTAATATCGGTCGGAAGTGGAATGTACGGAAGCAGAAGATTGAAAACATTCAGTTGAAGAGAACAGAAGGACATAAAGAAAGTAGTTAGAATAACAGCAGAATTGAAAGTATCATGAAGCATATAAAGCAAGACTAATGGAAAATTTGCAAGTTATGTATGATTTCCATATTTTACGAAAGTACTCTGTAATTTTGCATTCAACAATAAATCGATCTTTCCCAGATGAGTGTTCGTTCATTACATATTGACTTTTAACTCATATATCCTACTTATTTAATCGGATCTTCAAAAAAATTGTTTGATGATTTGAGCTGACGAACATTTCTGGTGGGGTTATTTGTCGATTATGACTGAATTTCTCATTACCAATTGTAAAGATCAGAAGGGGTTTTATGGATATTATAGTAATTTTAATAGTTGAGATCATGATTCAATTGTATATATAGAAGAAGGTATACATATTTCAGTTTGATATTCAACTCAACTTACAAATTTTCCAATCATTGGTTCGTATTGAAAAACAACTGTGTTATTATTCTCATTATGTTCTCCTGATATGGTTGGTTGAATTTCGTTACCCGCTAAAAAAAAATATTTAATAACTACTTTTATTAATAAGAGATATTCATTATATATATATATATATATATATATATATATATATATATATATATATATATATATATATATATATATATATAACAGAATAATGTTTTACTTATGAATTCATTGCTTACTAACCCTTATCTATGGCCATTAAATCTTTTTCCACTAACACTAATCTCCAAACAAAGACGATTTTGTATAGAACAAAATAATTTGAACATAAAAAGTATCAACTCATATAATCTGTGTAAATTAACTTGGTATTGTTTGTTCTTATCTTCCCACTGTTGTTTAGGACTGTAATTGATCAGTCTGTTATTAGTATATGTACATCCTGTGCGGATTGCCTCAATATTGCCTTAAGTTACAAGCTTTATACATCTATCTGACGAGTCCCAAATAAGATGAAAAGCGCGTTCTGAATTTCATTGCTAGCCACCATCCATCTTTGCTCACATAATTTGTATTCACAAACATACACTGTTCTGTATACATAAAATTACTATAAGCTATAAGTAGTGCATTTTATTTCAGTTACAAGGAAAATAGAATAGTCAGCACTTCAGTTATATATATATATATATATATATATATATATATATATATATATATATATATATATCCCTAAACAGCTATACAATTATAATCACATTAACCAAAACTTTCGTCAAATTTACCATTTGAAAGAAGACAATTGAAACTATAGTAATTTCAAGTTGATAAACATTCATTGTAAGTTAGAAGTATGAATTATATTTAACACAGAATAACTTTGATAAGATACTTAATTTTACAATCGTGTTTTACTAAATTAACGATAAAACGGAAGTTAACAATATAAAAACAAAAAAAATAAAATTAGAACAATATACACGATATTACCGTCATATAAAATACTTTGAAAGTAATAAAAAATAATATTTTATTAAGTATAGCAAATTAACTTGATTTGTACTTAAATATATTACTTACGCCTGTTACACCTCATGGAGGAGCATAGGCCGCTCACAAGCATTCTCCATCCAACCCTATCCTGAGCAATCTTTCCCAATTCTTTCCAGTTGTTACTCAGTCTTTTCAGATCTGCCTCTATTTTCCGACATAGTGTGTTCTTTCGCCTTCCTCTTTGTTGCTTCTCTTGACGAGTTCAAGTTAGAGCTTGTCTCTTGATGCAACTTGGTGGTTTACATAATGTATGTCCTATCCATTTCCATCGTATTGTCCTAATTTCCTCTTCGGATGGGAGCTGGTTTGTCCTCTCCCATAGAACGCTGTTACTGGTGGTATCCGGTCAATGCACGTTAAGTATCTTGCGTATACAACTATTTATAAATACTTGTACATTCCTGATGATGGTTGTGGTAGTTCTCCAAGTTTCAGATCCCGTACAATAATACTGTCTTGACGTTCGTATTGAAAATTGTGACTTTGATATTGGTTGACAGACAGTTGTTTTGAGTTCCATATGTTCTTCAATTGTAGGAATGTGTCCCTTGCTCTGACAATCCTCGCCTTTACGTTGGCATCTGAGCCTCCTTGTTCATCGATAATGTTTCCCAGGCACATGAATGATTCCACATCTTCCAGAGTTTTTCCATCAAGTGTGATTGTGTTGGTGTTCTCCGTGTTGGAGATGAGGATCTTGTTTTCCTCTTTATGTGCAACGAGGCCTACTGATACAGAGACTGCTGCTTCACTAGTTGTCTTCATCTGTATTTGTTCGTGTGTATTTGATATATATATGAGGGTACGAACAAAAAGATGGTTCGCAAAAGCGCAAGTGTAAAAGAATGCGATGAAAAGAGCATACATAAATAAAAGTGGGCATTAACAAATGCGACCATCAAAATGTAATTTGCAGATATAGATCAAATGCTTAAAATAAGTGGGTTATCAATATTCTATCTAAATTGTATTTATCTGTAAGTGAAAAAATACATTGTCTGAACCTTACTACTTTAGAATCTCATACTAATTGTCAAGCAGGTCAACAACATTCTTGGTTTTATTGTAGAAAAGTGATATGTGAGATGATGTGACTGGGGTATTAAGAATAACAAATGGTTAATAAATTCGAAAAGTAACAGTATTTATCGGAAGTAAACTTTTCACTGGACGCTTAAGAAGCTACGTTTATGATCGTTCGTAAAGACGAACGAGTATAAAGTAATTCGAGCAAACTTGACACCTTTAAGAAGTTATTCCTTTTTTGATGACCATTTTTATTGTTGTACGCCGTTTGCAACTCGCCATTTTGACGGCCTTCCGTATCTGAGTAAACCACTTTCACAGTTATTTTTATTTGATGCTTGTAAAACCATCTACTATATGTTCAGTTATTAAAGAAGATGATTAGGCAAACATCCTATTTAGTCTATATGTTATATAACTTATTTTTTTGTGTATATTATTACCAAACAGTCATTCACCTATCATCCGGCTTTTTACTTGAAAGTAACTTTTTCATAGAGTAATTTACCAAAACATATTGTTCAAAATGGATGAATAAGTTTGCTTTAAATAATAAAATTAGTGTGATAAGAGTAGGTTGATTCCCGCAAGCAAGGATAAAAGCATTAATCAGGCAATATTTTTATGAAAGAATGATTCATAACATAGTAATGATCTATGCAATTCTTGCCTCGATCTTCAGTACAGGTCGAATCCTGTTGATCAATTTGCACTGAGGTGTCGTGCGAATTTTTATTATTATTGGAAGTAGTCATCATAAAATGCTGGATCAAGATTTCTTGCCGAATGGTCAGTAAGATTCTATTATTACTAAAGGATTTGACCGATATGACATTGTTGACTTCCCAGTGACTAATCATTTTTAAATATCTCAGTCACTGTTCGAGTAACTAAGTGGTACCAACTCTGACTATGTAGTTGAGTAACGCTGGTTTAAATCTCATGGGTGTCGATGTCCTTGGAATCGAAGGTACGCCCTACTTACAAGTATCAAATAGCATAAAACCTAAGTCCTGAGTTTCTTATTGACTGACGTCGATCACCTAACGATAGTTTTACTAGTTAAATAAAGTTATACAGTGAGCATAACTGATTTTAATGTTCACAAACGGGTGTTATACAAATATATATTGTGCGGAAAGTACTAGTAAATTACATGTGGCCGATTCACTAGTCAGGTGCTTTAATTAAAAGTTTAATGCACCCCAACGGCCTTATTACACATTACTAACGTTTCTTGGGTTCATTTTTGGTCCACAGACATCAGTAATCCTCTTATATATGTGCCAGAATTTTGTTTGGATAGTTTACAAATCATATAAAAATAAAAACTAATTATGATTTTCAGTGGATACACATAAGTGTAGCGTATAAAGCTTGGTAGGACTAAATAATCTTATGGAATCATAACTTTATTAATAAGACGGCTTTGTTACAACGCGCTGCAGAAAAAAATATATAAATGTTTTATACGATAGGCTAAAATCACAAAAAGGTCACAAGAAATTACACGAAACCAGCGAAATTTTGAAAACGTACTAATAAATTAAAGCGGACTTCATGACCCACTATCCGTCTACACATATTTACATAGTCTGTCGCAAACAAAGTAAAACTTAGTTTGAAACCAAAACATAGTAAATACAGCTCAACAAATGAATAGGACCAAATGATATAAAAATGTCGAGTGAGCCAATTTAGTTGGTTTGAAGTTATATCTCTTAGGGTTACGATTATTCCATGGGTATCATTAGAGCAAGCCGCATTTTTACACAAGTATCTCTCATACAGCCTGCTGGTGGCTCTACCAAACAATAGTATATATTGGTTTCGTCAAACCTATCTTTCGTTTAACCCGTTGTTTTCGTCGTAAGTAGTTTGAAGACAACCGTGGTCAACTGAGTGAAATAGAAGCGCATGTTCTGATTTCAATGCTATTTCACAAATATTTGGAATAAACTACAGAAAGACAAAATAGTTGTGTGCTTATGATATAGTTGATGCAACCTGATAGAATACAAACGAAATTTTTAGTTTTGAAGTTAAACAAAAATCTGACGAAGCTGATAAACACAGAATTTCAAAATCAGTCCTTACAATATAAACCCTATGAAAAAAACGAAACTCACTTGGTTTGTACAATTTTTCCCTCTCTGGCGGTGGTTTATTTATGTGAAGTATTCGATCAGGTATCAGCTCAAAATTCAGAGGCCTAAAATTTCATCAAAGAATTATGATTGGTTTATTCAAATGTTTAGTAGGAATTAATGCTTTTTACCATCACTTTAACTTAGTTAGCTGTAGATCATTCATCATTCTTTGAACGGTTCTTAGGCTCAAACTTGGTAAAAATCTCCATGATGTTAATCTAATTTAAACATTCTTTCTTTATATGTAAGAGCTCTTTTATAAAGCTCACCATTTACAAACTGTGTACAGAAATGAACATTAACCAAATAAAAAAGGATTATAGATGTGTGTTGTTTTAGCATCCGACTAAACGTTTGCATAGGAAGTAAAAGTGAACTAGCGAACTTCCATCATGATTTTATAACCAAACATTTTCAAATGCTGACAACTCAAAGGTGTGGATTGAAGTCAATGATTTCTTATTATCGTTTCCTTTAGAAAATTCTAAGTGGTAAAGCAAATGTCAAATGGACTGCTTATTCCAAGGATGGTGTAACATCTTTGTTTCGGATATGCGCGAACGTTTAATTAAAATCTTAGCGATTATGTCTTGTGTTTTGTTTGTCTATGCACTTACTAGTTGAAAAAACATTAGACAGCATTTTTAGGTTTAACAAACTCAGAAAACCCTGTAGTTAAAACTTTCATGTTTTTATCTTTACTAACAGATACAGTTCTCATTTTGAAATCATTACCTAACATTCACGTTTTGGTCCTACATAGTGTTATGCTTTGTTAAGTGAGAATAACTTACAAAAATTGTTTAACTGGCGTTGAAATTATATTTTTATGTTTGTTTAAGGATTATTTTCATCACTATTTAGTTTACAGAATACCCCTAATTTTAAAACCGTCTTACATATGTTCTGTCCATGTACGACTCATAACGGGATACTTGATTCCTGAATATTAAATCTATAGTGGCTTAGAGGGAAACCTTGGGGTGAGTTTCCCTCCTTATATAGAGGCTTAAAAATTTCATAGTCACTGACATTTATAAAAACTTTGTTTTGCAGAGCATGACTCTAGGAATCTCTTGGTCGAGTAAACTTATAGGTTTTACATGTTTTACATATGGAATCCGAAGCTGGTTGTACATGCTAAAACCTGTATTCCACCTAAAACCCCAGACATTTGGCAAAAATGTATCGTTCTGTGTAACAAATAAGTCGCGTATCATAGCAGTTTACTTTTGTAAAATATTGTTATATAAAATTATTTTGACTAACAATTTAATTGAATTTGGCTTCCAGTTTGTCAAATGATCGTTTTCTAGTGACTTTGGTTTACTCAGTTTGGCAGCTAATTTTCCATTGTTGAGTAAGGAATAGTAAATCTGTCGTGTTTTCAACACATCTTTTGGTTTTTCTCCTATATGATAAAATTTCGTGGATTTTTGTCTTACTTAGAATTCTGCCAATCCACTCCTCTCTGATAGGATTGATGTTTTCGGGGAAGTCCGACGTTTTTACCGAAAATCCGTCATCTTTTTGAAGTGTTTCAGCAATCATTTTAGTAGTGCAAGTAAGGTTTTCGTAAATTCGCACACCTCTAAATTCACGAAAGACCTTAATGTTACTACACAATTATTAAGTTAAAACGCTCAATACTTTGCACCCAAGGGCAAATGTTAATTGAAGTTTAGAAGTGAAATGTAACGTATTATGCTTCCGTCTTCCAGACTTAAGTAACTTTTGCCAATATATACATGATTTATTTTGTTAGAAACGTAGGACGTGTGCAATGTTACTGGCCGTCAGCCAAATTATCCCGCAGGTATGTCACTGAATGTTGAAGAGGATTCGACTACATAAATTCATATGACTGAGAGTGACTCATTTAAGCGATTAACATTCAAGCTACAGAGAGATATGTGCTTTCATGTGATCCAGCGTACATGTTTATACAGAAGCGATAGTGTTATAATAGTTCAAAGAATATGCGAATTGTTACTGTTCGAATAACATTGTCCATTAAATAAGTTGATAAAAGGGCTTAACAAGAGTTGTAGATAGTTTAAATGGATTGTACGACAGTTGCTATAAGTGAAATGTCACTGAGCATTAGCCGATTAGTTTATCTGTGTGTATCGCTAGACGGCAAATTATTGGGAGTTGATCAGTTTACTGAATATCGTAACGGTCGAAAATCACTAGAGCGGACTTATAGAACACTCATTATTTTAGGGCTGAAGCACTAAAGTCAGACATCGAAGTAACTACAAACATGCTTTACTTTCTATTCAAGATTTGGGAAGAATAAATGTCGATGGACTGGAAAGAACGACACCTTATCAAAATTCCAAAGAAAGATCTGAGAAAATGTGAAAACTGCAGGGATATCACACTATTAATAGTGCCAGAGATAGTCTTTAACAGAGTGTTGCCGAACCGGATGAAAGACGCCTAACTTCTAAATCAACAGGCTAGATTGCGTAGGAATAGGACGTGCACGGATAAATTACGATACTACCAATCAACGTCGAACAAACAGTTTCGTGTAACTCGTCACTATACATCAACTTCATGGATTATGTGAAGGCGTTTGACGGTATAGACAGGAGAATATTGTGGAAAGTTTGACACTGTGGAGTTCGTGAAAAGATAACCACTATTATCCGGAACTCATCCGACGAACTCCAGTGCAAAGTCATGCATGGAGGACAGTTACAGAAGCATGACAAGTACGAACCGAAGTCAGACAAGGTTGTCTACTTTCCCCCTTTTTCTTCTTTCCCGTGGTAGACTGGATTATCAAGACCACGATTTCTGAGGGAAAACACTGAAAACACACCTACAAATGCAGATAGAAATAACTGGTGTAGCAGCAGTCTCTGCATCAGTAGGCCTCGTCACACATAAAGGGAAAAACAAGATCCTCATCTCCAACACGGAGAACACCAACACAATCACACTTGATGGAAAAACTCTGGAAGATGTGGAATCATTCATGTGCCTGGGAAGCATCATCGATGAACAAGGAGGCTCAGATGCCAACGTAAAGGCGAGGATTGTCAGAGCAAGGGACGCATTCCTACAATTGAAGAACATATGGAACTCAAAACAACTGTCTGTCAACCATTATCAAAGTCACAATTTTCAATACGAACGTCAAGACAGTACTATTTTACGGGATCTGAAACTTGGAGAACTACTACAACCATCATCAGGAATATACAAGTATTTATAAATAGTTGTATACGCAAGATACTTAACGTGCATTGACCGGATACCACCAGTAACAGCGTTCTATGGGAGAGGACAAACCAGCTCCCATCCGAAGAGGAAATTAGGACAATACGATGGAAATGGATAGGACATACATTATGTAAACCACCAAGTTGCATCAAGAGACAAGCTCTAACTTGAACTCGTCAAGAGAAGCAACAAAGAGGAAGGCGAAAGAACACACTATGTCGGAAAATAGAGGCAGATCTGAAAAGACTGAGTAACAACTGGAAAGAATTGGGAAAGATTGCTCAGGATAGGGTTGGATGGAGAATGCTTGTGAGCGGCCTATGCTCCTCCATGAGGTGTAACAGGCGTTAGTTAAATAGTAAGTAATAAATTTTCAAACGTTTTTCGGTGTAATGTATTTCCAACAGAGCTTTCGTAGCTAGCGCTTTGAGCTTCGTCATGGAACTCACTCTGTATCTGCTTATGTGTTAGTTGATAAATGATCAGGGTTCGAGCTGAACAAACTGTGTTTAGTGGGCATTGTTGCAAACATTATTCACCGTGTACAAGAATGCTTTTTCCATAGAACCTATTATCATTCATATAAGTAGGCCTCTCAGAAATACCATGACACCAGTAAGAGGCCCATCCTGTTGTGTCCAAACCTCGTCCACTTTTGATTCATTTTATATAATACTCAAAATCGTTTCCATAAGATTTCATATTCTATTTGGCCATTAAAGTAGCCTGAATACCTGAAAAGCTTGATAGTGTATTTTAGTTCAGATACTCTCCACGAGGTATGACTCGGATATAGGCCGGAAGTTTTCACTATATGCCTCTGACTTAGACGGATTCACCATCCAGATAGGTAATATATACACACCCTATGGTTTACTAGTGAGGTGTTCAAAATGCGTTGCACGAGAACCTGATTGAGCGATTTCCGAACATGAAGCTCAGGGTTGGGACCTACTTAATTTACGATTAGAATCACAAAAGATATGATTGGGCAACGACAAAGGACCTGAACAACGAACACTTTTGGTTAATGTTTGGTAATATCTAAACTTCGATTATTTGATATTCCCTTTATTGTTAAATAAGTGGATAAAACGGGAGCGATCCAATGGGAAATTACCTTTGATTTTTAGGCTTTCGAACATCAAAAAAATAATGAATCCATAATCTAAGGTATTCCAGTATCTGTACCGCTAGCCTACTCTCAATCACGTCCTCCAGATTTAACATAAGTCAGAAAACGACAATAGCCAATAACCTATTTTTAATACTGTGACGAAAAGTATGTGCTTTAAAAAATATATGTATAAATAAAACTAATGGTAAGTTAATGATACTTTACAAGTTCCAGACACCTAATAATCCTCAAGTATGACAATAAATAATTGTTCCTATTGGTCAAGGAAGAAGATTAGGCATATATTAGATTGTAGCTCGTAAGTTGAAACGATTTTGATTTGAAAATATCTATGAAGTTTAGTCCGAACATTCGTGTCACTGACCAGTCGAAGTTCGAAACAAAGTGGTTGGATAAAGAATGGTTCAATATATGGTTATGATTTTTAATATACATTACTATTGTAGATCCCCGATGTAGATGATTTATGTCGACCGATAGGGGGCTTACTAAAGTTAGATAGGGATGGTGGGACCAATAGCTCAGGCTCAAGGTTATAGCTCTCATAAAGAGCTCTACAATTCTATTTTATGACGACTACAAACTTAAAAATGTTGTATTGCATAAATACTTAGCACGACCAGAATTCCAACACAATTATGCCGAGTCTGAATCTGGTGTGCAACGTGGACGCGATGCCACTTTGGAAAAATACTTTAAGAACTGCACTCAATATAATAGTAAAACATAAACTTAATCATTACCGCTCCGAGACATATGCACGAATGTACTGTCTGTTATTTTCATTGATTTCATCTATCCAACGACCTTGATTGGGAAGCATACAACAACAAAATTAATGTTAGGGCTTGTAGATAATGCCTGTAAAAATAACGTGCACCTTCCCTGACAGAAATATATTATACTACATTATTACCTCATGCCAAGCCTGATACTTAAGTATCAAGCTACAATTGTAGCTAAGTTGTGTACACCACCAACTGGTAAGGGTATAAATGATTGGTTCAATACATATCAGAAAATCGAATCTCCAGCATGCCCCTCGCTAATGCACTTGTAGCGTGGCGTCGAGTCGCGTTTGACTATGATCACCACTACTAGAAGACTACGTGCCAATTAACCGACAAGATCCCCTGTAGGCCAAATAACAGAAGGCAGTTGATGGCTGTAGTTAAGATGCATTTGCTGGCGATCTCGCGGTATCGAGAGAATATCGAGACCATGCCAGATTACAAGTGGGGTTACTGAGCGTAACCAAAATCTTACAAGGTCACAGTCAACGGCAGAAAGAGTGTCTTTGGTACAGTTAAGCAAACAAGTACAGTAAAACAATCACTGGTACAATTGGTTATAATAGTAATTGTTTCCATTACACCAATAGCGTTCTGTTGATAAAAGTAGGTCACTACACACTCATGTCCATAGAATAAACACCAGTTATCTGTTCCGAAACCACATAATTTCCACTGTTGTAAGAATTTTTGACTAAAAATCAGATATATTAGTTGAAATACTGATTACTTTAATGGTTGAGCAAAGTGATTTCAGGATAATCTCAAAAATGAGTAAGTCGTTCTAAACTTAACGAGCTGACTTGAACACCTGTCTGCGGTCATACTTCTATTGTTTGAATATGCCAATGTATAGATACCAATACAAGTAGACAATGTACTGGCATAAATGTCCACTAACTTTCTAATTCAAGGCAAAGATAGTGATAGTGTACACTTTGCTACAATATAGTTTATATTTCTGTTTCTAAGCTCACAGGAACTGAACATACGTTATGTTACTAACCGCGGGTTATCTCTTTGGATTTTATTGTAGGTCGTCGAAATGTTTTCATACTGAATCATTCTTTGTTATTGTAGTCCAGCTTTTTCTAACTTTTAAATAATCTTTGCGTGGATTTTCTTCTAGGCGTGCTAGGAATTAAAACAGGCATTTTTAAATCATCATATATATTTCCCGACCAGTTGCTGCTGCCTTCTTTCTGACTTATCTTTACATTAGCATTGCTCGGAAGATTTGCATTTTTCCCCGAATGGCCATTGGTGCACATAAACCACACTTTCTTTTGTAACTGCTATTGGTTCTCAATCACACGATCTTTGAGGCTGAAAATACGATAACTAAGAAGATGTTTTCAACATCTAACACATGGAGGTGGTCAGAAATAGTGTATGAGGAGACACTAAGTCGGTA